TCAACATGAGTGTTTGCAGAGTATGCCCGTTGTATGAAGCGCCAGATCAGGTCATGTTGTAAACTGATTCTGCACCTGCGCTTTGCATCTGCCTGGTATAGCTACTTGCGCCAGCTGCGCATCAGCCAGACTCTGACTGAGAACACCCAGGTATGCGCGGTTCATGTCGCGAGGCTACGCGACAACGATGAGCCCGCTGATCACTGTGTTTGTAATTACGAGCGGTGTGCGGAATTGCTTTTTTGCTGTATCCCACGCAGGCGTTCATGCGCTTCAGGGAACAGGTGGGGTCCATCTGCACCTCGCCTGTGGGGTCCAATATTTACTGCGTACATCTGAACGCTTTGGGCCATCATCCCGTCTTTCGCAGCTGAGCTGAGCTGCGTTCACAAGGCTGAGCGTCACTCACGGCATTAACATCCCGGGGCTTCTACTCTGATTTGATCATCTTAACAATGTGGCGCACATCCATCACAAATCGGACTTCAGCTCGCAGGCGGCTCTGCAGATGAACCGCATGTCATAAGGTGTTACATGTGTCCGTGAAACCTGGCTTTGCCGATCCGTAGGAACAGCCAGCCCTCGTCCCGAACAGCAACCTCTCGGAATACAGCGTAACTTCTTTGCGCATGTTCATGTCAAACCTGAAGGGACATACGTGAATCCAACCACAGCAATGTTTGCCGATACGGTCCTGTTCTACGCGTTCTTATTCGTCGTTTGCTATCTGGTGTGGGGCAACAAAGCGCGTGCGATCCAGCCGAACCGACCCGAAAACCTAGCCAACAACAACGAGGAACACCCCGAAGCACCCACTCTAGCGCCCGGATTGAGCGATGAAGAACTGGAAGGTCTCATTGCGCCCAAGACCTTAGGCTCCAATCTAGTCGAAACTATACTCGGTCGTCTCGCAGCAGCAACTTTCCATGATCCAAACCGCCTTTACCTGCCGGAAAACGCGATCAAGGAGGTCATCGTCCAGACAGCGATCGAGCAGGAGCTGGCTAAGATTGAGAAGTCTCCAATAGAGCAGACCGCTAAGTGGGATCGTGAACGTCGGTATCAGCTCGCGACATGGATCCATACCAAGGCCCCCAAGGTATTCGCTATCACTATTCAATGCGACTTCGAACCATCTCTTCTGCTCTTAGCCATGGCTATATTTCAAAAATGGGGGTTCACTGATGAGAAGCTCCCAATCGATGACAGATCGCCAAGTCAACATGTATTTCTTCCCCAGATCTGGAATCCACTCAAAATCGTCAACTTCCGAGAAAACCAGTGGAAGTGTTTAGCTCCAGTATTCATACAGCAGAAGTATGGCTATGATCTGAAAGCGCAATGCATATTTCCATTCACTTCAGATGGGGCGCAACCAAAGGACGGCGCTTTCAGTTCGGTATATCGGGTCACGATACACAAGGACCATCATGAATATCCAGAGATACAGCAGGTACGTTAATAGTAGTATACATTAGATCCTTATCGCTGAACTCTTATACAGGTAGCGCTCAAGGAGCTTAAAGTACCACAAGGAGAAAAGGACGCTGCTGGAACCGACCGGGCCTGGAATTTCGAAGCTACCGCTCTCGAAGCCATCAGGAAGCTCAACCATACCCATATCGTGAAGTGTATAGCAGCTATTCGAAGAGGTCACAGCCGCTACTTCATGTTTCCCTGGGCCGACGGGGACAGCTTGCGTGACTTTTGGGACCACACGCCACGAGAGGCCCCAGATGCTTGTATCATCGAACACACCATTGTTCAACTTAGAGGTATTGTCGATGCATTGGACCAACTACATAATTTCAACAGCGGGCGGCCAGAACAGCATAGCGGAGCCGATGGCTTGATGATACGAGTGAACGACCCAAACGCTGCGGAATCGTATCTGAGCGACGGAAGTGATGCCGGTAGCGATAACGGGCTTGACAACGGGGTGGATGAATACAAGAATGCGGACAATGCGGAGTCCATCAGGCATGGTGATTTGAAGCCGGAGAATATCCTAAGATTTCTCGCCAATGGATCTAAGTCTGGCCTGGGGACCCTGAAGATCGCAGACATGGGCCTGGCTAAACGGCATGTAGTGGCTACGCAGTACAGACCGAAGCCTACAAGCACAAGATACGGTACCCGACGATACGAAGCGCCTGAAACTGTTACTGGTCAGAATGCACGTTCCCGGCTTTATGACATTTGGTCAATGGGATGCATCACGTTCGAGTTCATCATCTGGATCTTATACGGCAACGACGAATTGACCAACTTTTACAAACAGATCGAGGGAAATGCACAGCAGATCTGCCAGTACTACGAAGTCTTGGACGCGAGCGAACCGGAAAGTGCTAGAGTTCACCCTGTGGTCTTGAAGTGGATGGAGCACATTCAGAACAAAGATCCGGAGTGTTCAGCAGGGCGAACATCAGCGATCAAAGATTTGCTCAAGATTGTACGCGAGATGTTACTAGTCGTCAATCTTCCTCCTAACAGGAAGAGTGATACCCTGAGTGGTCGACTCCTTCAACCTCCAGCACTCGGTCAATCTGTTACAAGCTATCGAGCTACGGCCGCGCAGTTTCGGGACAAACTTGACGTTATATTGACGAAGCGACACATGTCCACTTACATGTTCACTGGCAAAGACCGCACCAACGTCAGAACGCCAACGTTCACGGCCCCAATGCTATCGCCGAACAGTGCTAATCTTCCACTGAGCAGCCTACCACCTCCAGGGTCGCTCAAGAGTGGAGTTCTCGGCCAACCTATTGGCGCTGACTACACCCTTCCACCTCTCAAAGATTGGGAGTTTAATATCGATAATGAATTCGCTCATAAAGTCGTCGCAATTGTCGACGGACAGGAATTTATCCCGCAAACAAACATCGCTCATCGACTTTGTGCAGCATGCTCGGCGCGTGACTTTCTACAAGGCGGTTTCAGCATCGAAGAGCGGGTGTCAACGTTGGAAGACCGTGCACCGGAATGCGATTTGTGCAGAATGCTGTACGAAATCCACAACCAAGCCGAAGAGCCCAAAGGAGATCCGGCGGTGTTTCAGCGAGACCAGTCGAACATCATTTTGACGGGCGACTCGTATCCTGTTCTTTCACTAATCAGAAGTCCAGAAACGGACCTTCCGTGTCCAATCCAAATTGGCTTTCCAGAGCTCCCAGAAGCTGGATCAGACGCGTTCTTCAGCATCGTAAAGCTCTGGCTCAATGATTGCGATACGAATCACAGAGGATGTGAGGGGCTGAACCATAGCCTGCCGACAAGACTCCTCGACGTGGGTACTCTCAGTACGCCTATGCTGCGCCTTGTCGAGACGAAGCGAGAGCAGATCCCGAGCAAACAGTACGTCGCGCTGTCGCACCCCTGGGGAGATACCACAAAGTACACACCGTTTTGTACTCTGCCAGAGAATTTGGAGGACTATCTTCAGGCCATTCCCGAAGGCGATCTTCCGGCAACCTTTCATGACGCTGTCAACTGCACGCGGAAGATTGGCATCCGCTATCTGTGGGTAGATTCGCTCTGCATCATCCAAGGTGAAAACGGAGACTTCAACGATGAGTCTAAGAACATGGAGGCAGTCTTTAGTGGAGCGTATTGTGTACTCGCTGCAAGCCGAGCGAGCAATCAACGTGATGGCTTCCTTGATCCCAGGCCGCAGCGTGAGTACATCACTATTCAGCGAGACAACGAAAAGCCCTTCTTCGTCTGCAAGACTATCGATAACTTCAGTAAAGATGTCATCGAGGGGTCTTTGAACAAGAGAGGTTGGGTGTTGCAAGAGCGCGCGCTGGCACGACGGACCATCTACTTCACGGAGAACCAGACATACTTCGAGTGCGGCCAAGGTGTTCGATGCGAAACCCTAGCCAAACTGCATAAGTAAGTCATGACACCCTCTGCTTGTTCGATCATCATTGACCAAAAGCCCAGCAATATGGCCGATTTCCTCGGTGACCCGAACTTCCCGAACAAGGCCATGCGAGCCAATCGCGCACGGAAGATTGCTTACTTCCAAGGCCTTTACAAGCAATACTCTCGTCTCGACTTCACGCGCTATTCTGACCGCCCTTTTGCCATCGCGGGTCTCGAGAAGCGCCTACAAAGTGCTTTCAACACAAAAGGAGCGTTTGGCATCTTTGACGATGGCGACAAAGAAGACGGCGGACTCTTCCATCGGAGTCTCTTGTGGCAACGCGGCGAAGAAAAAGGGGATCTCCCGAACATGCCCACGATTGAGTTCCCACCAGCGCGCAAAGTGAAAGTCCCAAGTTGGTCCTGGATGGCGTATCGAGGTGGGATAGACTACATCGATCCGCCTTTCGATCAAGCAGACTGGGAGCGCACCGAGATAATCCCGCCTTGGACTCGTGGTAGCAACAAACACTCCATGACAGACACCAGTCCACAGGAGGACGAGATCGCCATCATAGCTCGGGTCCGCGACTTCAAAGTAGCGGGGAGATTGCCAGAGGAGGTCAAGATAACGTATGATGCCGAAAGGACAAGTGCGAGTGACGGCCAAGTCACGCAGTGTGTCATCGTCGCGAAAATGAAGGGAGGAAGCTCGAATCTGCTAAGGCGATACTACGTCTTGCTTGTCACAGCGACGCAGGGGACGACGGGGAGGGGCGAGAAGAGGTATAGGAGGGTCGGAGCGGGGTTCATGTTGGGAAAGTACATCTCATTGGAAGGGGAGGGCATCGCAGCGAGAATCGTTTAATGAAGTCAGTCGTCTGTTGCGCGAAATGGAAGTGTGTGTTGAAATCGGCGGTCAACTTTGTCGCGTGATCACGTGACGTACCTCCCCGCCTTAATTCGTGCGGCGCGGACTGATGCCTGGAGGACGCCTTAACCAATAACGATAACAACACCACGACGCGAGCCATGCCGCCAATGCACCAAGGGACGGCAGCTAAAGTCTGCCCTCGTACTGGAATCACTTGATCTTCCTTTTGCTCTCCTCGTCGCATCACCTGGGCATCATGGCCGAAGCAGCAACACCATCGAACCCGGAACAAGTCGCGCACGATGACCTCTGCCCCGTAAGTACCACCCGCGAACACGCGTATTCTTACTAACAAACTCCAGATTTGCCAACTTCTCCTCTTCACGCCCGTAAAAACCCAGTGCAACCACCTGCTATGCGCGTCCTGCATGGCACAGTGGTCCGACGCCTCCAACACGCACAGCATCGAACCCACCAGCTGGGACGTGAACCTCGAAGACTTCGATCCGAACTACGATCCAACGTACGACCTCGAGTGCAACTGTCCCATGTGCAGGACGCGTACTGCCGCAACTCCGGATAACGCGTTGGCAAGACAGTTGGAACAGAAATATCCTATCACGTATGCTGAAAGGCGCGTTGAAGAGGAAGAGGAGAGGGGGTCACGTATCGGACGTGATGGCTTTGAGGGCGTCATGATGCTTATAGGGAATAAGCATAGGCTTATTAGGAATGCTGGTGACGACAACGAGCATGATTGGACATTCTTTGTGCGCACGTCCAGGCCGGATCTGGTTAAGGAGGTGCATATTTATCTGGTATGGTTCAAATTACTATCTCACATTCCTTTTAGTTCAGCGCTAACACACAACAGCATCCTACATTCCGACGATCCCACGTCATTATCCGAAAACCACCTTATGAGTACGAAGCTCGAGGCTGGGGAACCTTCGTCATTCGTACCGAGATCGTACTCAAGCAGCCGTATAATTGGATTATGGATAATGCTGGCACCCGGCAGCAGGCTCTCGAGCTGGAATGGCCCCTCAACTTTGAACGGGAAGGCAGACAGGGTAGAGTGAGAGCCAAAGTGAACAGACTTGATGCTGCAGCCAACAGCACCGGTCGCGTGTTACGGTCCAGGCATCCACCTCCAAGTGCACCCGTTCCGGATGATGACGATGACGAGCTAGACGACGATTACGAGGCCACCCAAGACGAAGACGAAGACGACGATGAGAGCTCATCAGATGAGGACTTTGAAGAAGGAGCCAGTGAATATGTTGAACCTTCACGAAGATAGCAACCGTGGACGCCATAATCTTTCCAGCAATGGCTTCGCGACGTTTTCAATTCGATCACGAACACCTGCCGATCATCTTCTCGAAATAGCCAATTCAGTGGCAAAGCTCCTCTTTTGGTCACTGAGCTGCGGATATGCATATCTTTGGGGAGAAGAAATCTAATGATTCAAATGTGCTGAAACTGTGCAGGCATTTTAGGACGCGGCTTGCTAGTAATCGCCGAACCGAACACCATTAACCTCTACAACCTTTACTTTCATCTGTGTAACCACATGGAACGGTAGGCGCGTGTGCGTGTACTAGTCTGGAAGGGCGTGGTTCGCTGTTCGCATCTCATTCGCTCTTTCCGGCACTTGCGCTGGCATAGTCTTCCAAATTGAGACCTCACCACCAACCAGCTGAAGGGCTTGGCATGCTACAGCGACATGTGCACCGTCTTGGCAAACGTCAGCAGGCTCGAAGTAGGGACAGTGTTCGGCGAATAGACGAATTCTCAGCCTGGTCCGCAGCATCTTGCGAGACCGAAGACTTGTGCACCCTGAGCTTATTTGAAAGCTTGGCGGCGCATGCTGGTACGTCCGACATTGGCAGTCATCCTGGCAGATCGGCACGGCTCAATGCTCCTGCACCGCTCACACCGACGCCATGGTTGGCTTTACCGATCTCCGATACACAGAGGTGTATCGTGCAACAACCACCATGCAGCAGATCTGCAAGGCTCACGGCAGACGGCGCTTCCTTGCCAACAGCTAACGACGCCTCCGTAGTGCAAGCTTCAAGAATACTCTTCGGATCACACAACCTCTCCTGGCATGCATTCGCTCTTATGCAAGCCTCTCCGTTGACACAACGCGGTTTCCGTTGCCTGCGCCCCACTGGTATTGTTTCTAGAAGCGTGATACTAGGACCTAACGGCCCCCCAGATACACAGATCTAAACGATCGTTCGGTACAGATGGCTCACTTAAGCTTTCTACCACAGCCATGCTACTCTTAAATTGGCCATGTTACAGGGCGAAGGCTTATCACATACAGCGATGGCCTTACTGATACCCGTCGTCGATTACGGACCGACGCGATCTGACCAGATGTTTCACCGTCACGAAGCAGCTTCCTCGTAGCTGGCGTTTTGTATATATGTTCAGGTATTGTAGCTGCCTTGTTGCTCAGCTCTCTCATCAATCCAGTCGTACCACCACCCACGATCATCAGTTCCTTCCATTTGTTTCATCATGGATCTTGCACGTTATTTCAGTTTACGACGGAAGACTACCGGCAGTCACAACAGTACTCACGCAGCGCATGGGAAAGACAGGACTTATCTGCCCCTACTTGCAAGTCCGATCAACGAAGATGTCCTCGAAGTAGTGTCGGGTAACTCTTCAGATTTGGAGAAGGTCAACACCCACACAAGCACGCTCGACAGTTCGAACGACACGGCTACATTTGCTGGGAATGGCAGGACAAGTCGCGGAAATATCATCGTTTACAAACAACACACCGAAGCCAGTACGATCGAGCTCTTCTACGATCTCTTCTTTGTTGCCAATCTTGCGTACTTTACAGCTATGCATCAGCATACCGATGCAGAATGTATGTACAGCTCTCACATCTTGGATACACTAGCTAATAGACTACTAGCACTCATCAACTACATCAAGCTGTTCACGCTTATGTGGTTTACGTGGCTGAGCGTCACACTTTTCGACGTGCGCTTCAGCATCGACTGCGTCTGGAACCGTTTTCACAAAGCCATACAGTTCGGCATCTTCACAGGCTTTGTGTATGCCGGCCCCGTTTTCGACAAGTACAGCACCAGCGGTGTCGAGAAATCCTACCGGAATTTTGCTATCGTGCTCGTCATCGGCAGAATCGCAATCGCTGTTCAATACGCCGTAGTTATGTGGCAAGGTCGCATGTTCCGCCAGACATTGATTCCGTTAGGGCTCAGTGCAGGTGTACATGCTGCTGCAGCGATATGCTATGCCGTTACCATGGTTGTATTTCCCAAGGGCCGTGTTGGTCTTGAGGAACAACTCGCATGGTATGTAGTGTACTCCGCGTTCGGTTTCTAGACTAACAGAATGCGTAGGGTCATGATATCCATCATTGAAGGTCTTCTCATCTTTCTCATCGCCATGATTTGGCGCATCATCAGTTTCAAGTACACTCATCTAGCGGAGCGGCTGCAACTCCTTACACTCATCATCATTGGGGAGGGTATCATCGGAATGGTCAAGAGCGTGGCATGTATTACCAAAAGCCAAACGAGCAACAACATGAGTGAGATTGGAACTGTCATCGCGGCCATTCTTCTCTTGGTATGCAGACAAGAACCTAACAACTCAAAGACAGCGCTAATTGGGCCTTTAGTATCTTCTCTGGATGCTGTACTTCGATCAGCTTTCCCATGATCGTTTCGGAACCGTGCGTCAGCAAGTATGGGCTCTACTACACTATCCATTGCATTCAGCAATTCTCCTCTGCGTCGAAGGCAACACCTCTCTCATCGTGTGGAACTCAGCCGTGCAAGCTCTCAAGTGGATTTGGTCGTTCAAACCCGAGAACTACTACGACCCAGCCAATGGCTACTCCGACACCGACAGCTACATCGACTACCTCAATCAGAGCATGAACGCTATCAACGGGAGATTCAAGAGCAAAGCCTGGAACACTACATACAACTGGAACACGAACTTCACTGCGATCGAGAATTACACTGCAATGTACGGCTTCAAATCAAACGAATGGAACAATCGAACTGGCAACGTTGTCCGTCACATGTTCGACAGGGCGCAAGTCTTCGTGTACGAGGCACATTATGACTCTCTTGCGAAGCTCAACGCCGTTGCCGCGACTACAGCTAGTCCGCGGAACAAGCTAGATGCTGTTTCCGATGTCTTCAACACCACTACCATGCAGTTCTTCATCGGCGCAGGCTGTCTGCTGTTGGTGCTTGCGATCATGTACTGGTTCAACAAGATCCACAAGACGAAGTATGAGTTCGGCGAGATCATCAACAGAGTTGTTGTCGGCTTTACGCTTATCATCCTGGGAATCTCTGTCGTCATTGCGGACAAGACCACCAGTGGTTTCAAGTTCAAGGGGAGTCATTGGATGATACCCATAGTGGTGCTGTTCTTTGCTACAGGTAAATGTCCTCCACATTTGTTATCGAGAGACTGAGATCATATGCTGACTTCTTTGCCAGTACTGTTTTTTGATAACATTTTACTTGTCGTCGCACAATACACCAGCCGCCATCCACGTCACTCGCACAACCGCGATATCTCATGGGGTAACAGGACCCTGAACAACGACAGCGACGACAATGAGACTGGTGGTCTCATATCAAAATACCCCGGCCGCGCACCAAGCCCTGGCGGCACACCCAAAGGCGCGCCTCGCAGCCGAAGCCACACACCAACACCTCCTTTGAACAGAGTTCAAACCGCGTACACACCGTTCGTAGACTCGCCGCCTCAGCCCCGCGACTTTGTCACAGGCCCATCAAACGGCAAAGCTAGGATGCTAAGTCACAGTCCTGGCCCAGCGGTTGACAGTGAAGCCACACTCCAAGACGAAGGCAACCACGCAGGGCATGGCCGCGGCAGGGCCAACACGGCTGACTTCTCGTACGAAAACACGCCTACCAGTGCTTTACCCAGGAATCAAGGGCTAGGCATTGGTATCACGGTTCAGCGAGCCAGTACACCCAGCTTTTACGGTAACTTTCACCAGAATGGTGACCTGAGAGAGAAGGCTACCTGGAAGAGCTTGGGCGTTATGACTGAAAACGATTATGAAGGGAGGGGATATGGTGATGCTGGATTGCAGCAACCGATGCGTACAAGGGCTGTTAGCTTTGAGGATCATGGGTCTGCCGCTTGATCATCTCTACTGACATGGCATACGTCGCGCAAATGTGGTGGATGAATTGATAGTTTAGCGTGCATTTTGTCGGTGTTCTGTACTCTTGGAATTCCAGTCGCAGCGCCTTGCGACCTCTCGTATTGCAGTCTGGCTTCTTGGAGTTGTTTGTCGCATAGAAAGTGTAGATGGTGGTTGTCTGTTACTTCTAGACCTCTTATTTTCTCGCAGTCATGTACTTCATGAAGCCAGCAGCACACTTCCGCGTTAGGAAGAAGCAATAGTTCTGGAATGAATGTCACACCATAACAGCTCTATTACCCAAATCTTCCATCGCACCACACGAATCATCTCATTCCATTAGGTACTCACCTTCTCGCATCGTAACTCCAATCTCCACATCTCATACTCTCGACCAGCCACAGGCACGCTTTCTGCCCGGGCACCAATCACAACACGAGGCTAAACAGCTAGCGACGCGAGGCTGCAGATGCGGGGCAACCCTTAACGCTTACCTCGCCCCTCAGCAAGGCAGCCTACTTGCTGCTGGCTGCGGCGCAGTGCGGATCACAAGGCGTAGACCTGGTAAGACTCCCGAGGACGGCTACGTGGTTGTAAGCATCATCATCCAACTCTATTCCTTTTTCCCCTGTTACACGACGTCTATACGCGGAACCGTTATTGTTGTACGAGCGCTTGCAAGTGCGAGAATCTTTGTTGCGGACGGCACGGCATAAGATTTGCAGTAAGGAAGAGCGGTAAGGGACTGTGCGAAAAAGGGGCTTGGCACCGATTTTACGTTCAGCGGGTTTACGAGGATACGACGCGAAGTGCCGAGGTTGATCGCGCAACGTGGTTTTCGCGACGTGTGGTTCAACGCAGGGGAACTTTGCTGGCGACGACAGACGAACTGAGCAGGAAGTTTCAATTGAGTCGAGGACGGATTGCGCAACGTTCTGATTCTTGTTGCGCGTGCTGTGCGGATCGCAGAGCCAAGAGTGTGGGAAAGTCGTCATACTCGGGCGAAGGACGCGACAGAAAGGGGCGGAGGCGATTCAAATTGACATTGAAGTAGCGATTGAAGGGGTCTCAAAGACGTGAAGGGAAAGAAGTAGGAGTTGTTACTTCCATTGCGACACAGCGCTGCGTCAAGAGACACCTACAAACGAAGAGGAACCTTGGAAGGGAAGCCCTGGACAAAGACAGCAACAACGACGACAACGACGCGAATCCCGCAGGACACCGTCGATCCACCATATCGAAGCTTCCCACGAAACTTGCTCGCGGTCAGGAATCTGCAGCATCATATCGCCATTGCTGCCGCCACCCAAGCTTATTCTTATCTTTAAACCTCATCACCGCGCCCGCCAGGCTTTCACCAAACGACACGACAAAACCCATCGCCATGCTCTTAACAATGTCAACTACTCACCCGCGCACGAATGAATTCCTATCTCTACTTTCGCATTGGCACGTCCGCAAGGCCGAAACAACATTCCTCAAACGCCTCAGCATGCGCGGCCTGGAAGTCGTCGCGCTCGCGGCAGCTATGCTCTTCGTTCCACTTACCATGCACCGCGCGGTCCAAGGCCTAGACGAGATATACGAATTACTGGGTCGAAGAGCGCAATCACCGTATGCGACGACCTCATGGATGAGCATCGCCGCCGCTGCGACCATGCTACTAGGATGGCACATCTGGCTCGGTCGACTCAGTTACAGAACCATTCTAGAAGCGGCATCGATACCTTTAGAAACAACTAGTACCACGGAAGAAAAGGAGTACCTGAAAGAGAAGAAGACGCAAGAAGAACGGATCTCGTGGGGTCGTATACTCAGCCGCCTCGTCATACCTTGTCTACTTTTTACACTGGGTTCGCACTTCGTTTTCGAAATCTTCACGCGCATCAAGGATCCCAGACCGCGGATCACGCTGAATACTGTGGATATGCAGGAAGCTATAGGGCAGTTGTATGGGTTTCGATGAGGAACAGTATGTCGAAGTAAGACATCATAGTGTGATTGGCTAGTACGGAAGGAAGGTGCAGGTACGGTATGCGACTTCCAAAAACACCAACGGACACATCGAGGCCCGGACGTCAACACCATACTGCAACGAGCACCCCGGAGTTTCACACCCAATCCACCGCCCGCGGTGAAAGATAAACACCTCAACACCCGGTGGTTCGTCTTACGAGTACGTACCCCAGGATATACTTCGGCACAACTCCGGTACCACGCCACGCCGCAGCAGCATTCTCCTCACCCGTACCCTACGACATTCCTCTCCGCATGATGTCATGTCGAAGACGACTTTCTTGTCCCGTTCATCTACCCCAGACTCGGCCTTGATGTTTACGTCGCACAAGGTATTGCGACGAGTGAGAAAAGGCGTGGCTGCGTTGGGCATCCAGCCAATGTTCTTGGCCAGAGCGCACGTGGACGCAAGCGAAGCTGGTGTGCGTGGAGGTATTCGGCCCGATTTTCGGGGGCGAAGTTGGATGAAGGGCCGAGTGGGCTGACGGGCCGGATGGGGTGTTAGCGCAGTTGGTTGCATGTGGTGAGGCTGAGGAAATGGGGATGGTGTTGTGGTGTGCAGGCAATAGCACTCGGAGAGATAGCAGTGCGATACATGTGTTTTTCTGACGAGGCTGGGAGATATCAATTGTTAGGGGCAGGGCTATAAAACTGGTATCGCACAGAATGTCAAGCGAGAGGCTGGCATAGCTTGCGAGTAGACAAAGACATATGTGCTTCATGACAAGGCGTAATATGGTAGATGTCGGATTGGTAGAAACATTGTTATCAAGCTGGATGTCTGATTCTTATGCGGTTTACGGAAGTGATTTTGAAGACAATCGGATCATCCATCCCATGATTGATGAAGACTATCTACATGATTTCTGTGGACCTGATCGCACATGGCTTCATCAATGCTACAGGGCGAGACCGGTTGAGCTATCAATCTATAGACAAGCATTTGATTCAGCCCGAGTTACACAGTTTGGCATGCTTCGCATTCTACACCGGGTCAAAAATCTCAGGGCCGCTATACTCACAGGTACACTACTACTACTGTCCACCCATCTTCAAATGGAGGATGACAGCACCGATGGATCTAGACAAACCATCCTACGTCAGATCGCCACGGAGATATCTCGAGCCGCAAGCGTACCGCATACGAACCGCGGTAGCGTACCGTAAGACTTCAGTGGTACCCTTCCACATGACGGGCGTCTGGCTCGCGACAGCGCAATGTCAGAAACGTGTACCGTACCAGGGCCTCGGGGGCAATGATAGATAGCGCATGTCTAGCAATGATCACATGTGTTAGTTCCATACTGGGCGTGTCTCCGCCAAGCAAGGCAGGCCTGGGTGTTGCGATTCACAAGGAGTGTGTTTTCCGACGGGGAAGGTCCGCGTCGTTCAGTTTATCAGCTGCGATGGTCAGTACGCGACAACTGCTCCATATTACCTCTTTCTGCGATGTGATCCAGTATCCCACGTCATTACCAAGAGATAGAGCGTCCAAGAGCTGCATCGCGGTTCCGCAGTCTTAGATGAAGCTTGGTCTTCAGCCATCCATCTCCCGTAAATCCAATAACATGATCGGTCCACGATGTGAACAATGCGGGGAAAGATGGAGCCGTCTGGTAATCCCGGTTAGACAATCCACACGTTATCAATTGCGGAGAAGGTCCTGCAAGGTACGGACATCGAGCCAAAACGACGTGAACCAGCATGAATAGTGTGTTCGCGGCAGTGGGAGGCTCCAATGCGTCAACCCGGAGGCGTGGTGTAGGCGGGATCGCGGTGCGCCACCAGCGGTACCGGGATGCTGGCGACGGGATCAGTTGAACGTTTTGGGATGTAAAGAGCGATGTTATATATCGCGCACCGACGCGAACATGGCTGGAGATGGCCTGAGGTGTCGTCTTCCCTTAGTCGAAGGTCCGAGATAAGCTCAATGGTGTTGCAGCGTTCGAGGCACGGTCACGTAGATGCGCATAGGATCTATGATCCGAGCGAATCGGCGGCTGTCTGCCTCGAGAACCCAAGTTTTCCCGCGGTCTGTTGTCAAGGATGTCTGTAGCTGCGCCGAAAGCCTGGCGATAAGACATGTAAGACATTAGGCCCACCTCACGACCGAGTTCCTGGGTCTCAAGGCCTCAGATTCAGCCTGTGGACATTGGCCAACCTTTGATGCAGGCGACTGCGTGCGTGGGTGTTGGTGAACTGATACGGGTTGATAGTGGCGTACGCGGGGGCTGACGCGAGGCGCATCGAGGCAGATATGGTGGGCTGGCGCGCACCGCAACAATAGCGGAGAAACTTTCGGAAAGCATTGCCAAGCGCTTTAATATGTTTGTTCGATGCACGCATGTGAATTCGGGAGACTCTTCGGAGGCCAGGTAGATGGAGTGGAAGCTGCAAATATCTTGCTCTACTCAATACACGCAGGCGAAATGTCGATCGACGTTGAGAGGTAATTGCGACCGTGCCTTAGTGAGACAAAGCAACTATCGTCTCGGACCGTATGATGCTAGGTAAGCCTGCGCGTGACAACAGACGTACCGCAGCGTTACCAATAATAGTAGTGTCGCGTGGGAGGCCTCGTACGGATGTGTCGCATTGGATAGTCGTCCTAGCAGTATCGCTTAGGCTATTGCAGCGGATGCCACAATGAAGACATCACAGTCGAAGCTCAATGCATATTGTCGCTTGGGTATCTTTCTCCGCCTCGCTGTTTGTCGCATGGGTATAGCGGAGGTCGGTCATCATTCGCAAGTCGCTGTTGCTCGAGATTCGCAGAATGAATGGGTATTGATTTATGTAAAAGCGCAGCCAGTGCTCATAGGCTTCTGGCGATAGAAAATCTATCCAATGACGTTAGATCATAGCAGAACATCTCTGCTATACAGGTTTCGCTGATTCGCTTAAAGCAATTCAAACAGCACGCTTGTCCACGGGGACGTTGCGCTTCAGTCCGATGAGCTGAAGCATCTCGGTCCAGAAGCCGACAGGCGGTGTGATGAAGGAGGCCTCGTAGGCGTCGATGAGAGGAGCATCCCAGACAAGGTCAACCTCATGCGGCTTCAGCCACTTCGTCCTCTTGAGGACCTTCCAGAACACGAACAGGATCGGAGCAACACCAACCATGGTGTAGTATGTGAAGAAAGACTCGATGGAGAATTCTCCCACAAAGGTGCTGTAACCGTACACGAATACAACGCAAATTTCGAAGCATAGCGCGAACCAGGTACCGTAGGGCTGGAAGTAACCGCAGTAAGGGAGGGTCTTACGGTCGAGACCCTGGACCTTGCAAGCCTTGTAGAATGCGAGGTAGGTACCGCACATGACGATGTAGTTGATGATACCTCCGGCGGTGATGATGTTGACGAGCCAGGTCAGGACCTTGGCGGAGTCGGAAGACAGCTGGAGGAAGGACAGGAACGGGAAGATCATGACTACCGCAAAGCAGTAGATAGGAACACCGTTCTTGGTGCACTTGCGCAGGAACTTAGGAGCGCGGCCCTCGATAGCGAGCGAGTACAGACTGCGAGTCGCACAGTACGTGTACGTGTTTCCGGCAGAAAAGATACTCGTGATCAAGAGGGCGTTGACGAGATGGGGAAGGCCACCAATGTTGAGGTTCTTCATGGCGATGACGTAGGGAGACGCGGCAGCGCTGCTCTCTCCTGCCTCCAAGACACTGACGAGCTCTGGGTCGTTGTAGGCCAGAACAACGCCAACGCAAAGAGCGCCGAGGATGAAGAAGGCACCGAATCGGAAGTAAACTGTCTTGAATGCAGTCTTGATGTAGGCGCGTGGGCGCTTGGCCTCACCGGAGACCATGGAAATGTACTCAGGACCAACAATGCAGAAGGAGGCAGCCCAAAGGGAGCCGAGGAAGCCTTCGAAACGATCGAGGGAGCTGCCCCCGGGCATTGGGCCCGGGTCGCGCCAGTGTCGGAAACCGTAAGCATCCTTCTGGGGGTTACCTCCGACCATGGTGATGAAGGTGAAGCAGTAGAGGATGAGGATCAGCAGAACCTTGCCTCCAGAGAGCCAGAATTCAGCTTCACCGTAAGCCTTTACAGCCAAGATGTTGCAAGCACTAAAAGCGATTAGTTCTTGTCCCTCACATAGGATACTACCCTTAGGGCAAACTGGTAGGTCTTACGCGTATAGGACAATGACGCCCGCACAGACAGCAGCGACTGGAATGTCATCTCTCCAGAACCGCAGCACAATGTTAAGGGCCGTGATCTCGAACGGAATCAGCAGAGCCTCGTAGAAGAAGAAGTTCCAGCCAGCCATGAAGCCTAGGGACTCATCAACCCATTTTCCAGCCATTCGGATGAAGCCTCCGGAGACAGGCATGAAACTGGCCATCTCGGCCATGGCGTTGTTCACGAGAGCGATGATGCAAGAGTATCCAGTGTATGCGAGGAGTAGACCGAGGGGACCACCCTTGTTGAGAGCACCACCGATTGACACAAACAGAGCAGTACCGATGGAACCACCAATAGCGATGAGCTGAATTTGGCGGTTACCAAGGTGACGCTGCAGGTCGTCGGAGTTGTCGGTCATTTGGCCATGTTGGATATCGTCACCAGGATACGCCTCGCGGACGTACTCTCCAGAATACTTCTTGTCTTCGGCCATGGTTGCAATGGGGGGTTTGTCGCTTTAGGCAGAAAGGGAATTGTCGCAAGGGAGTGTTGTCGCGTATGGAAAGTCGCTTTGGTATGGGGTTTGTCGCTCTGGAGTCGACGCTTGGGGGAGGGATCGACTATCAGTCGCGTGGGGGAGCAGCAAAAGCTACGACAAAATGAGTTGCACTGGAAGCCAGTGAACGGAAGGAAGGCTACAACTTGGTAGAGGAAGTGAGATTGCCCTTGGTCGGAACCAGGACCCTGGGGGTGAAGGGCGCGGTACTTATACGGAGGACAGGCGCGGCACACCCAGTGTGCCCTGTCTGTGGATCCTCTCGGTGGTGAGCGCTGAGATGCCACTACGAGTCCAAAGAGGTTTGGTGGGGCGCTAGGCGACCGGCGACGACTAACGCCCTGGGGCGTAGTCCATGTACCGCAATTCTGGGCATGGGATTCGACGGTACAGAGTTTTCAACCCACCCCGGCTGCACTGCTGCGTAGCGACCCCGCTCGTTTTGTCGCACGCGAATGGAGATGCGCCTTCCCTCAGTAGCGGCGTCGACGGCACCACCCTACTGCGCCGGCCTGGCCAAGCCTGGCTCAGCGACGCAGCGGAAACACCTTGTTCGCCCATGGGCAAGCGCGCCTGGGTTAAGCACTGGGGTGGGCGACCAGGGCCCAGGTCCCTCGCCGTTCAAAGACAGTTAAGGGAACGTAATCCAGCGTGGCGGGCTTCCGGTGCTGGCGAGTGGCTGCATGCGAGCATGGCGATGCGAACAACAGGTAGCGGGCCATTTGTCACACCAAGCTCGTGGGTTTCTGGGGTCGGGCGCGATTGCTTCTGGCGTGGCGCTTTGCGGCTGACAGCTCGCATCTTTTGTGAGAAACAGGTCGTCTGATGCCGCCAGCTCCAAGCATGGGAGCCGCATAACGAAGCCTCTGGACCGGCTCTCGGCTGATAACAAGGAAAGAACGCCACGGTGCTTGATTCGTGTTCGCCGCCTTAGATACGTTGAGAGATTGGCATTGCGGGAAGCCGAGCCATGTACAAATCAGATGACGGCATCGCGCGTGAGAAGTACCGGTGGCCCTCGTGGGTGCCCTGGACGCTGCAGCCGGCACACAGTTCTGAATGCACAATAGGCGGCATCGCGGCATACGTCGGTCCTTCTCAGTCTGCCATGGAAGTTGTGTGCGACATGAAACTGATAGCCATCTTGGGGGTTTGCTTCGGCATTTTGCGCTGGCCGTCTGAATGTGGTCGCAAAGAGCGCGGCGCCTTGGGGTCGGAATGTGGAATCTGCCTACAGGTAAGTTGCCTTATGCACAGCTTCGAAGATCCGCAGCAGTAGCGAATCCCAGGAGATATTCTGTGGAACACTCCCACTGCTCAAGCCTCGAAGGTGATAGCGCTCAGCCTCTCGCATCAGCGTGCGGTCGCTGTCTGCCTAAAAGCAATGGCTTCTCGGCATTGCCCCATCGTCGGCTGAGCGGCAATCGCGTCGTGTCTGTATTGAAGTCCGAGTCGTTTAAGATGCGAAATGATGATATTGTGGTGGTTTCAATGAGCAGGAGGTGAAGAGAAGAATGGAAGTCACGACAGCAACTTGGTGATCTTCTCTCCGACTCCGGCGCCGGCTCGTCGTCGGTTCGTCGCTCCTGCCTCTCTCCTGCCAAACCTCTAAGAAGGAAGCGACAGCGCACAACACATCTTCACAGGCATGGACTCAGCAGGACAAACTACTTAGTATGTCTCTCTATTGATGCGCGAACAGCCGACGACCCTGAAAGACTACATCTATCACCTCGGCAGTACCACCTTGCGCTGGAGATGTCCAGCGGCGTGTGTCTTGGCCTATAGAGCATACAACTTATCGACCCGATCTGCTTACTGTTATCGAAATATCTCCATCGACGATTCACTTCCAGATCGCAGGCTCGCTGTGGCCGATACGTCGAGGCTGTGTGCCGCTGCATGTACATTTTCCTTCTTCGCTAAGCCTTACGATGCACACATCTAGATCACTACCGCCGCTTTTAGGTGGTGTGCCACAACACCATCCTGACGTTCACAGCTTTTCCGCGGCATTATAACACACATTCCTCGACCATTGTGCTGTTCACTCCTCTGCGCCTACACCATTTGGAGCGAGTCACGCTTCGGAACAAAGACTCTTCGTCGTAGTCATTTCTTATCGCTTTACAGCTTGTGGAGACGAAAGGTCTCCATTTTCGACCCAGACCCACTCTCACTCCCGCCGTTCCGCGATGCTCCTGAATGGACCCTGGAATTGAACGCAGGAACCGAAGGATGTGCGGCTTTTACATGATCCCAGTCATCAATCGAACATCCTTGGACCTTTGCCTATCGAAGTAGGCGATACCTGAGACTACCGCCTACACGATATTGTTGAAGTTCCCGTGTGAGAGACCATGGATCTTTCAGAATCTAGTATACCAACGTACCAGGCTCGATCCGTCGCAGTATGGATATTTGCCTTTTTCGCAAGCAACGCGGCCGCACTACCAACACCCAATCTCGCCCATCTTTGGACTTCATTTTCGGGTGCTCAAAGCGAAAATGGGCAGATTGATAAGTCAAGAGCTGCTTCGTGATACAGTTGTTTGCAGCTTGAGCTGGGGCTTAGCAGTGATCTGCCCCGCTCCTGCCGCCTGCCGCCTGCCCCTCCATGATACGTTGGCTGCGCCTGCACTGTACGAACCTCAGCCTCACGAGCTCAGCCACGAGGTCCCTCTTGCAGCCTGAACAGCATCTTGAGCCTAATCTCTGCACGCATCTGGCATCACGCGCGCTTCTCTCCTCATTCCTGCAGCCTTAACTAGTACTTGTTATCACCGAGCATCTCCTTAGTCCAAGATCTCTCTCCAACCCGCGTCGCACAGCTGTGATACGTGCCCTCACAAGCCTCCGAGCGTTCTTGTTACAAATCGCGCCTACAACGAAGCTCCACGTCACCTATATTGCGCCTCGAAGACTGCTGTGCGACCCATCTTGCATCAATCTCAGAACGGACCCTTTGGGTAGACGTTCACACCAGTCTTGCGTACCTATAAAGCCTACATCGACCTTGCGAATTTCTGATATTCACAAACACCAACATTGAACGCGCCAGAGAGCACTAAACATCATGTGTCGGTGGTTCGCATATATCTCCCCAACGGAGCCATGCCTTCTCTCGGACGTCCTCATCACGCCAGACAACAGCATCAGCAAACAATGCTCTGAGCACTATCTCCCAAAACTACTGCCACATGACGAGGAAAAGGATCTGGATGACTCCCCAGATGAGCTGATGCGTATGCGCAACTCATTACTGAACATGGACGGGCTTGGCATTGCTTGTACGTACTACATTCCTTTCTTAGATCATCATACACGCTCCATGTTGTATGGCGGCACGGCAACAATGTTCAAACCGGTCACACCCTCTCCATTCAAGGGGAGAACCGGACACCTATGTCCGCGAAGCATCATTTTCTATTGGTAAAAAGCGGCCTAAGAAGACTACGTTGCCTTAACATTGTGCAAAGCCCAGCTCTTAGGGCAATGTAAACTTCGAAGCACCTGTTCGGTTTTTCCCGTCATATAGGTGATCTCCAGAAACTTCGAGGCTTACGAATGCAAAACGTATGATGCAACCAGTCAGTTGACAACTACTTACATACACCCAGGGTACACCACAGCGACCTCATCCTACGTTAAGCACGTCACCGGCCCCCGCCCCGCACTCTACAAGTCCCAATCCCCACCCATCAACGACTTCAACTTCAAATCCCTGTGCCACAACACCGAATCGCAATGCGTCTTCGCCCACATCCGCGCCACAAGCGGCTCCGTGGTAACGCAAGTGAACAGCCATCCCTTCGTATTCGGCCGCCACGTCTTCATGCACAACGGCGTCATCTCAAACTTCTCGTCCATCCGGCGCGACATGACATCCCTCCTCTCCTTCGACGCCTACTGCAACGTCCTCGGCAGCACAGACTCCGAACACGCCGCCGCCCTCTACATGACCAACCTAACCAACAGCAGCACCAAAGAAGCTTGGGAGAAACCTTACCCCCTCAAGAAGATGCTCGAAGCCATGCAAAAGACCGTCGTTCAAATCCTCACTTTGCAAAAACGCACGCTGGGCGAAGCCAACACCCCCAATTCCCTCAACTTCTGCACCACGGACGGAACGAAAATGCTCGCCATCCGCTTCCGCAACCACGTCTCGCAGCAGCCGCCCAGTCTGTATTGGTCTGAGTTTGCGGGTCGCACGCTCAATACAAAGTTCCCCGGTGACCCGGATAGTAAGTATGGCGGGAGTGCGGATGCGGGACGGGAGATTGGTGAGGCTGGTGCGATGGGCAAGCATACGATCATCGCGTCGGAGCCAACGACGTATGATGAGAAGGAGTGGAATTTGATCAAGAGGAATTGCGCGTTGATGGTCGATGAAGATGGGATTGAGAGGGAGGTCGAGATCGAGTATGATGAGGGGTTGAATGCGAGGGATCCGAAGTTTGATGGCCCGGCTGATGCGGATGGTGGGAAGTAGGTGGCTGGTAATGGTCATGGATTGATGGCTTGAGACTCAACCGTAGGAGACAACCACACCCTATGGAGCCTACATGACCACAAGCCTTACTAGTTTCACTCACTTTATCCTAGTGTAATCTGCACATCTTATCAGATCTGCTTTCTTGCATGAGATGCGTAGGATGCGAAGATCATGTTTTTCTGCTGTTTTAGCTTGGACGATTTCGTGCCTGTGGTCTTTACTCGATCTCTCCTTTGCTTAGGGTTAATTTTAGTGACAAGTATACATGAGTTTCTTCCTCTTGGATCTGTCCGTCACCCTTCGCATAGGTGACTTGGAAGTAAGATATGTTGTTTGATATTATTACCGATCGGACGCTATTAGATCGAAGACAGACTATGGCACAAAGGCGTCCAGGTATACACGGGAGGTATCTGACAGGTGCCACTGTTGTCGCGAAAACGATTCGCCTTCGCTAAAGTTAAATCTCAAAGTCGATCAAGTGCAAATCCACTCATCTCAGCGATCACCTATACCCAGCCTCACCGCTCCACGGTATACCATCCGGTCTAAGTCCCATAGCTTCTTTCTGTTCCATCTGCTTCCTCAATTCGGCTTCTCGCCTCGCGTCTTCCACATACCGTAACCTCTCCCTCCTAGCCTTCTCCTTCAACTCTCCGAACGGATCGAATCGCTCGCTCTCGGGGTTCTTGAAAGGATTTTGCTGCCAACTTCCGCGATCCGTGAGCGTTGTGCTTCTGGGCCTGTTGTTCAACACATCGTACGCTTTGTTGAGAGGTGGATCTGCGAAAGGATTTGGCGTTGGTGGTACACGGGTAGAGCGTTCAGTGGATACGGTTTCGGGGCGGGAGTATGGACCTGGACCGAAAAGAGTGTTGCTGCGATCGGTAGAGCGGGTGAGATGAGCGGTTGCTCCGCCAGCATTTCCGCCATTGAGGCGCGCGAAGATCGAAGACGCGTCGCCTACATGTGCAGTCTCCGGGGGTGGGACGTGATCGTTCGCGTATGGATTGAACGTCTCAAACGGCGGACCCTTGTCAATGTAACTGTGCCTCCGCTTCCGGCGCTTGATGAAGACGAATCCGGCAACTAACAGCGCTAATGCACCTATTCAACAATTAGCAACGATCTGTAACAGCGACAATGACGATGACTGACCAAGTACGCCAAGGACAATTGCTGCAGTCATGGCCTCTTTAGTCATGATAGGCTCTTGTTCTCGTTGTGGCAGCCTCTGGGGACCGGCGTTTCCGTCAAGTTCTGGCTCGGCTGTGTTTTGGGGCGGCGAAGTAAGAGATATCGGAGGCATCGAAGATCGCTCCGGGTTCCCTGTTGGCATGACTTCCTTGACGATTGTTGACGTTATGGTAGGGCGAACGGCGGTAGACAAGGTGGTTTCGCCAGTGATCTGAGGTTGTGCTGCGTTGTTACCACCAGAAGGGCCGCCGAAGGTGAATGAAGGTACAGACGTAGTCGTAGCATCACTCTCTCCTGATGATGTTGGCATTGACGGAGCGGCAGTTGGATCGGGTCCGAGGGTTTGGACGGGCCTTCCCGTGGATGTCGCTATAGCACCGCTCTGTACTGGCGAAGGTGGCTCCTCCTCGTCTTCGGATTCCGAGTCCTCGCTCTCCGATATGTCACCGCCGACTGTAGATGGGCTGCTGAATGGTGAGTCTGGACTCTCTGGGCCTTCCTCCTCCTCGCCCGCAGCGACAGGCATCGTACTCGCGATAGGATCGTCGCGACGAACGCGTCTTGCGAAGATCTTGACCGGCGATGGTCGTCGAAGTTGATAGCGAGCCATGGTAGATATGATGAAAGGTATTAAGTAAATGTACGCTGAACTGCGCTCGCGCAAGTAATATCAACAAACTATAGTAAAGTAAACAATGTCCCCAGGACTAAGAACCGAAAATGAATGTATCCGGTCGACGGAGAAATGAAAATAGTACCTGACTTCCTAAGGAACGATGATCCGCATCAGTCAAGAAGTGGAAAGGAAAGTGAAGCAATGGAGATGGAGACGCCAATGCTATCAATGTGGGATGACGGCTTGGGGGCTTGCCGTCAGGGTCATTACCCTCAGTCGCATAACGTCTCCAAAGCGCGAATCAGTGGGTCAGCTCGGAGCTACCTTGATCCCCAGCGCGGTGCGGAGTATGCCATTGAAACGGCTGTTCTGTTATTGGGCCATCGTTGTTGTCCTTGAAACTAAGGCTCACCTACTGCCACAATATACAGTGTGCGATCGTCAGGAAAGGAGTATGAAACTGTTGACACGAGCGATGCTAAGACATGCTCTGGCCAGGAAGCTTTGGTTGCGCGAGTTGCGATTGGTCCCGGGGAATACGTGAGACGTCTTGGCGGTTTGACCTGACGATGATGGATCGCGTTGTGCTTCAGCACCTCCACACACGCGGCGGCGGCATATGGGTCGTTAGAGCCACACGCCGGTCTTTTCGTGCAATTTGCGGGTTAAGGCGGTGGTTCTCGAGAGTAAAGCCATGACGCGCTTCGTGGGCCCAGCGCGCGTCAGAGCTGTCTAAAGACGCGTACATCGGACTTTCATCCAACGGTGGGATAAACCTAAATCCGCCAACGAAGAACAGCAAAGAAAAGTCGCGTCAGGTACTTCAGCGGTCGGTATCGCAATCCTCGGGGGTGGTGAGGCACGTACAACGGCTGACCTCGGGAGGTGAGGAAGAAGGAACGATGCCCCCGAGAGTGGCGCAAGACCCTGGTCGATAAGCGAGGCATTAGCATGATCCGGCCGCGGGCCACCGCTTCTCCGCTGAACTTCTGCATCAACACGTTCGTCTCCTCAGGCCATTTCGCGCATCATCTACTGTCGCGTGCTCACTTGCCTTATGGCACCAGGTGGGACCTGAAGTCACTCATGGAGTACGTCATAGCTTCATGGCGCGAACTGTCGGCAAACTGGATTTCATGCTCGGGCGACCGTACGATGCACGTTTTCCAGATTGACATCAGCAGCCTCAAGTCGAATATTGAAGATGGGTATATTACGTATCGCGAAGTCTATCAAAGGTTCTATTTACGATCATAGTGCAGATGAAGAGGAAACGATGAGCCGTGCTTCGAACGTCATGTCGGGACCGCCCGATCCATACTTTGGCCCAAGCACATCTCATAGTACACACCCTTCTTGTCAAGTAGTTCTTGATGTGTGCCACTTTCCACAATCTTTCCCCTCGCGAACACCATGATCATGTCCGCATCCTTGATAGTACTGAGACGATGCGCCACCGCGACAGTTGTACGTCCACTCTGCGCTTCCTCGAGCGCCGCCTGAACTACCCTCTCGGATTCAGTATCCAGTGCGGAAGTAGCTTCGTCAAGAAGCAGTAGGCGTGGCTCGCGGATGAGTGCTCTGGCGATGGCGATACGCTGGCGCTGCCCACCCGATAGTTGCGTGCCTCTACTACCACACATCGTCGCAAAGCCGTTTGGCAAAGATGCAACGAAGTCGGATATGTTCGACTGCTTGGCTGCGGCTTCGACCTGAGCGTCAGTCACGTCGACTTCAACACCCATGGCGATGTTGTCCCGGACCGAGCCTTGATATAGGACTGGCTCTTGCTGGACCAAAGACACACCTCGGCGGTACTTGCGTGGACAGAGGTCCATCAACGGAGCGCCATCGCAGGTGATACGCCCCGCAACGGGATCATAGAACCTCTCCAAGAGCGAAACCATTGTTGACTTCCCGCAGCCTGAAGCGCCGACGAGAGCAATGAATTGACCGGGGCGGACATCGATATCGATGCCCTCCAGGACCTTGGCGTGGGGCCGAGACTTGTACGCGAAAGCAAGGTCTTGCACCTCAATATGCGCTGGACTCTTGTCCTTCTCGTCGTCAAATGGCGGCTTTGATGCGTCTTCCTGCACTGCAGGCTTCATTGCCCGCAACCGAAAAACGTAGTTGGCCGCAGTGGCCGACTTTGTGAGACTCGTAGTGTAAGAGAAGAAGGCTGCAGCTGCCTCTCCAGAGAAAATGACACCGATGAAGACCGTGAAGAATTGGGTAGTCGTGTATTCTCCCGTGCTGATCAGTCGGCCGCCGTACCAAAAGCCCAGGGCCATTGCCAAGAATGAGATGGACTGCGTCAGTGCGTACCAAAACATGGTCCACACCAAAGCTTTGATGCCGTCTCTTGCGACACCTCGTAGTCGATCTTCGTACCGGGCGAGGATGTGTCTTTCGAGCGCGAGACTGGAGACTGTGCGAATGGCGGAGACTGCTTCGGATGCGAGTGCAGCGCTGCTGGCGAAACGTTTGCCCGTAAGATCTTCTAGCTTGAATTCAAGTCGAATCCTGAGGTACCCAGAAAACACGATTGGAGGCATAGCTGCGCCAAGTCAGTGTCGATTACTGGAGAGAACTGAGAAGTGATACTTACCTCCAAAGACAACTACAAGACCGAGCTTCCAGCCAACCACGATGGCAAGAATCGAGGAAGAAACGATGTTGACGATGTTGATGAAAATGAGCATCAGGTTGAAGCCCATAAGGTCGCGCAGTGCGTCAGGGTAGGCTCCGAGTTTGGAGGCGAGCGCGCCGCTTGCATTGTCTTGATCGTCGAAGAATGCCATGTCTTGCTTGAGGACAAGGTCGAAGATCTCGCGTCTGTATACCCTGGCGACAACCTGTGCGACAACGTTGCTGGCCCAGCCAACAGCGCCATAGACAACAAGATTGCCGATTGCGACAACGAAGAACATCAAGGAGTAAAAGTCGCCCTGTTCTACTGCCCTCTTGGAAGACAGTTGGAAGGCTTCGACGACGCGAGAGAACAGGATGGCTTGAGCTGGGTAGGTCGCTCCTGTGGTAGGTCAGTAACAGTCGAACAAGAAACGAGTTGACAACTTACCTCCAGCTAGTGTTGCAATTCCCAATATGAGAAAGCACTTCCAAAGGGCACCCTGTTCCTTGAGCACTATCCAGGCACACTTCACCAGGTTGTAATTGATGCCGTCTTTGTCGGAAAGTTTCGCTTCTTGGCCGATAGCGGATGCTTGAGTCTGCGTCCGTACTAGATCAATCTTCTCTGCGGCAAAATCTTGGTCTTCCTGCTCTTCGCCCTCTGCTTGGCCGAGGTCCTGGGCTCTGACGAGACGAGCGTATGCACCACCAGCAGCGAGAAGCTCGTCGTGTGAACCCTGTTCAACCACAATTCCAGCAGCCATGACTGCGATGTTGTCGGCATTGCGAATGGTAGAAAGCTTATGAGCGATGACGATGGTTGTGCGACCTTGAGAGACACGCTCAAGTGCTTGCTGTACGATCTTCTCTGCCTTTGGGTCCAAAGCGCTGGTGGCTTCATCCAAGAGAAGGACAGTTGGCTCCGAGACGATACTGCGCGCGATGGCTAGTCGTTGCTTCTGACCGCCCGAGAGGTTCATAGCACGCTCACCCAACTGCGTGTCATAACCCTATTCAACGTTAACAATCCATATGCAAGTATCTGAGGAGCAACATGGCTCACCTTTGGCAGCCGCTCGATGAACTCTTCGGCATAAGCGTTCTTGCAGGCCTTCTCTACGAGCGCTCGCTGCTCGCTCTCGGGCAAGTTGGCCTTGTCGGTGCCGAACAAGCCGAATGCGACGTTTTCGTAGACAGTACCGGAGAAAAGCACTGGTTCTTGCTGTACTAATCGGATATTCGTACGTAGCCAGGTGAGATTGAGCTCTCGTATGTCAGTACCGTCGAGGTATATGGCGCCGCTAGCCTGATCATACCATCGCTCTATCAAGCCGATGATTGTCGATTTGCCGCTGCCTGATGCTCCTACGAGGGCTGTAGTCTTTCCAGCAGGCGCAGATAGCGTTAAGCTCTTCAAGACTGGGATGTCAGGTCTAGCGGGATAGGCAAAGCTGACGTCTCGAATCTCGACAACACCTTGACACACGCTAGGCACCTTGCCATCAACACTCAAGGGATCAATCTCGGACTTCCGATCGATGGTTTTGAATAACTCGTCGGCAGAAGAAGAGGCCTTCGTCAGAGATATGATCTGAGGTGCTATTGTTGTCATAGCGGTTGCTGCGACAATGACAGCGAGGATGACGGTAAACACGTCGCCTGTCAACGGATTAGTACATAATAGTATCAATCGGGTAGATCTGAGGAACAATTCGACCCAGGTTGGTGCTTCACATACCACTCTCTTGGACTTCGCCCCTGGCCCACATCCGGATGCCTTGCCAGAAGGCCAGACCATAGCCCGCATAGATGCAGAAGAACTCGACTGAGAACATGACGGCGTAGTTCGGGGACTTCTTCATACCAACCTCCTGGGCATCGCCAAGAAGCTTGTCATACTTGCTGGACAGCAATGGATGAAGCCAGAACGCGTGAACCGTGCGCACAGTCGCGAAAATCTCTTCCGCAAGTTGTCCGGCTTTGGAGTAAATCGGTAGCAATTGATTCTCGTTCTTGGTATCAATGCCGATGGAAACACCGACAACGATCATGATTGTAGGAACGATGCTGATCGTTATCAGGGTAAGTTTCCATTGGACGATGAAGGCGATGATGAATGCTGAGACGAAGGTCGATACACCTTGAACGGTCAACGTGAGCTTCTCCGATATACCGTTGTTGACATTGTTTCCGTTCGTCGTAGCCTGTGTCGTGACCGAAGCGGCTTCATCTGAGTCGAAGTATGCGATGTTCTGGCGGAGAATACTCTTGATGAAGTCCAATCGTAAGGCCTTGGTGGTGCGGATGGCTGCGATGGATACAAATGCCTGCGAACGTGAGCATGCTTTCACGGATGTAGCTTGTTAGTCACATACCGAGTGAATGTAGACGAGACCAAACTTCGCAACAAAGAGGTAGATGAAGTACAATGTGTATTTGTTCACTTCGGCACGATATTGCGCTGGCGTGATCGAGCCAGTCGCGAACCCAGTGAACGTCGAGATGAACTTGCCAAAGACCAGATCCCTGTGTGATGGAGGATTCCGTTAGTGTGTGATTATTGATTGATCGACGATAGGTCTTGCGAGAATCTTTGACCGTCCTTGACACGTAGTGTGAGGCCCGGACAACTTTCCAATGATGTTTATCATTTCACATGAACGAAACAATAGCAATGCGCAATCATCCAGGCCACCACGTTTCGAACATTGATGGAGGAGACAAAAGATCGTGATGTGTGCATGTCTCTTACATTAACGGAAGTAGTGTTCCAGCGGCGATGGCTGCAACGAATGCGATGGTGTTGAGGATCCAGCTTGTACGATCTGCATACTTGAAGATGCGCTGGTATGTCGTGAGCATCGTGTTCCTTCTAATTTGTTCAATACACTTACGACGTAGCCACCCATGCCACCCTTTGGCTCTTTAGACGTGACATCGCTTTTGACTGTCGGCGCCTTGCTTGTCTTGACGTCATCGCTGGCGCGCTGCTCGGGCGTGTCGACCATTTCTTTACTCGTCGACATGTTTGGGGTGAGTATTGCAGTCCTTGGACGATTGGACTGCAGTGCGCCACATTGATATCTGAAGCCATCTCGTCGAAGTTGCGCACATAGCTCATGTTTGCCGGACTTTGCAAAGTCCGGATCCGCGGTGAAAAGGGCGATCAGAGGGCGCGTCGCAAGCGGCTGAAGATTTCCCAAATGGCGCGGGATACGAGCAATGCGAGCCAATCGGCAAGTCCCGGGCCTTGGCACAGTCACGAGATCGCGCGTTCTTCGTAGTGATGCCTGGTGAGGCCGAATGCTGCATCTAGACTTCAAAACCCTGTATCTTCGACACTCTGGAAGGTTTAGTTGGTGAGATATTGGACTGCTGCCTGTCGGTGCGAGATTTCTGCTGTTAGTGATGACATCGTTGATAGTTCCCACAGCCCCGGGTTCCGAGAAGCCCGCGCTCCGATAAAGTCCACAATATCCGCCACTCTTGCACACCACGCGTAGAATACCGCGGCTCGGATTGCGTAGCCGACAATATGGAAGACGACGATATGGATGCGTCGCTTGATGGGCCCATGTCCAAGCGTGCGGTAAGTCGCATGAGCCAGCCACCCAGATCAGCGCCCAGATTGACGACCCACATCTAGTGCGATGCCTGCCGGACACGCAAGATACGTTGCGACAGAGGCGTGCCATGTTCCAACTGCAAGGCAAGCAAATTGAGTATGATTTGTTGGGCCTGAACTTGAAGTTGCCGCTGATTCGTGCAGCTTGCAAAACAGCTCCCCCTCAACAGAAAGCGCAGCGACAAAGGGTTCACATATCTGAAGAATAGTACGTCTGAACCGCTTCCAAAGTGGACCTCGCTGCTTGTGGCGTCAGCCTTACCCGTCGACCGTTCTTTGCCCCGCGGCCAAACAATCGAATCGTGCTGATCTGGCGTTGAGTAATCTTGTTCGAGCTGACTCGATTTAGCGAGAAGAAGATTGATAGAATTGAAGACCGCTTAGCTGGTATTGAGAATGTTCTTGCCAGTCTCGCAACGAAACTCGGCAGTCTGGACCTCCAGAAAGACTCGCATGAATCCAGCAGCCAATCGCGGTCGAGCCGAGTTGGCCCTTCAAGGAGTCCTGGAAGTGTCCTCGTCGAAGCCCCCACACCCGCGCCATTCGAGGGCGAGAGTTCTATCAATAGCCAGTCAGACTATGCTCGCGAGATGCTGGCACGAGCGATCGGGAGTACACCCTCTATTGGACAGAATGAAGAAGTCAAGTTGGCACTTACTGCTCTTTCGGAGATGGTCTCTCAGCACGGCCAAAACCCTGCAACTTCCAACCCCTTGATCAACCAGTCACTTGTCGACATTGACCCATCGAAGCTGGAACGACCGCCTTGGGAAATTGCGTGCTATGCTTTGGAGAAAGCTAGTGGTATGTCTACAGACTTTGTACCATTCAAGCCGATCTGACATGACCAGAATATCCAACTATGGCCTTCGCAGTGGTGTTTCCGTTCTTGAGAATGGCCAATCTCAAAGAGATCTTCTATGATGTGTATCATAACCCAGAAACTTGTAGCGCCGCTCGCCGTGTGCTCACGTTCGGCGTGTTGGAGAACGTGTTCAACGAATTCCGGACCTTGCCACTAGTCAATATGGACACCACCAACTATCAATCGTACGCCATCATAAGTCGCAGGCAAACAGAGGTAGCACTGTCGCAGCTAGCTATATTCTTACCGGCAAGCTACGAGAATATTATGGCTTTGGTCCTTGGCGCTGCGCAGGCGGTCGAGATGTGCAAGCCATCTCTTTGCTGGATCATGATATCCAGCGCTGCGGGCTTGTGTCAGAGCTTGGGCTATGTAAGCAATCATGTGCAAAATGCGTGTGAGACGACCGCTAACGTCCTGCATTTAGCATCGAATCAACACTATGATAGACGACAATCCCGAAGACAGACAGACGAAGATCCATATCTTCTGGATGATCTACATGCTTGACAAGACGCTTTCGCTACGTTTGGGTCGCTCAAGTATCCTCCAGGACTGGGACATATCGTTACCGTTTGTAGTATCCAGCGACCCTAACGACAAGCACGCCGAATCAAGCGCCTTCTTGTCGTACTGGATTAAGGTTGCGCGAGTCCAGGGCCTGACATACGAGAAGCTATTTTGCCCTGCCGCCTTTACAAGATCTACGGAAGAGCGCACGCGAATCGCGATTGAACTTGTCAACAGTCTTAACCAAGCCTGGTACGAGCGTGGGGATGCGTCGATCGTCGACTTTTCGCAACAAGGCCAAACGTATCATCTCGGTACGCCGAGATCGAACAAAATAGGCAACAGTCCAAATGAGACACCACTCCCGTCTCAATACAAGCGCTATGTGCACAAATCTCAGGGTAAACAAGGATCAGAAGTCAACGAATACGTTCAGGGTAAGTTTCACCGTCGGCGAGATTTGAACTGCACTGACTTTCTTGGTTGAAGGCTCTTTCGAGAGAGTCCAAGACATCTTCTTTCACTCCGATGTCGTCATGCACTATTCTACCTGTGCACTCATACAGCGCGCGGTCAGTCCAGGAAATATGAGCTTTAATCAGGAGTGCCTCGAATCCTCGAGAGCGGCCCTTGTCGCACATATGAGGGCTAGTGCACAGTTCAACAAAAAGGGTCAGGAGGACCTCTGGTCGGGATATGTACATTGGTCGGTTCTTCAGGCACCGTTCACACCGTAAGTCACTTGATGCTTTCCAGCGCACGGTCGCAGCTAACTCATACCTGCAGTTTCATTGTGATATTCTGCCACTCCATCCAAAAGGCCGATACGTCCGACGTTGAACCAGATCTAAACTCCCTTTCCGAATTTGTCGGCAGCCTGGAATCTTGCCGCACAATTTCCGAAGGTGCAGACAAGCTCTACAAGATGTGCCATCTTTTCCTACGAGTTGCCAGGCTCTACGTCACGGCTAAGAAACAGGATGCTGCGTCAAGATCCCGGGGAGTTATGCAAAATAACCAGTCAGGGTATTATACAACCGTTGATGGCACGCAGCTGGACCTCAACGCAATGTCCCAATTCGATCCGTACCTTAGTGCGCTTGGATTGATGCCTGATACCGCATGGCCCACGACATATCCCAACGCTTCCACTGCAGCCACGACGACCGCGTTTGAGCAAGGCGAGGCGATGAATAACATGGATGCCGTTGGTTCGTCCGGCTTCGGTTTTGGAGCGTCTCAGGGAAATTCCAATCCCATGCAGGACTGGTTCTCAGGCTCACGCTACCTCATGAACCTTATGGAGCCAGGCGACGATTTACAGATGCCGGATCTAGACCTGTAATACACGTCATCAGGGAGGAAGACATGGTTTCCGGCGTTTAGAAGACGGGGGACTGCTTCGGCGGCTATTCTGCTTGTCACTGACATATACCCCACTCTTGACATTGCCAGATGTCCATTATTTGCATTCATACTGGGGTTTCCTACTCAAATATTTCGCTAGAGAGTTTATATTTTGCCTGGGTTGGTGGCGTCGTTACATACCAATTTAGACTCACAAAAGCTTGCATTTCGTAACATCACAATGTTCACTCAGCCGGTCTACTATGACATGAGTGCAAAAATGAGCCGGCGTCCCAGGTTGCCTTGCATCCGCATACTGATTCGCTCTCATAACCTTGCCCACCTGAGCAAGGGCGTCATCGTTGCAGCCGCCAACTGGAGCAATTCGACATCGATTCATGTGCTCTCTGCCCAAGCAGTTGGAAGAACAAAGCATGATGCTGCATAACAAAGGTGCGTAAGCGGGGCGAAATACATGGACTGTGATGCGAAACTGAAACAGCCTGTTTCATCTGGGGAAGAGGAGCTTGAGTGGACAGCATGCAACATGCAACAATGGCAACAAGGGCGTTCGATCACTCATCATGAGCATTGGATTCATTACGTGATCGTGCTGCTCCACTCGCTGTAGATGCATTGTCGATGCTATTATTCTATTTACACGCGCCGTCTCCAACCGGCAAGAGAGCTAAGCCTACACATCAAGGTCCGGCATCGCATTGTCGTTAGCCCAATCCTTGATCTTGTCAAAGTTTCTGCATACATGGTGACTCTCGTAGTCAGGCCAGTATCCCTCCTTACCCTCCTGCGGGTGGAAAGTAAAGACGTTGACGTCAGAAAGACACATGAGGTTCATGCGGAGGATCTCGATGCAGTGGTCTAGATGCGCCCTGACCTTTTCAGGCTTGTCGTTGGTGTCGCTCCACCAGAGCTTGGGGTAGTAGTCGGGGTAGGTTGACATGCGGAGGAGGTTGAGGCAGTGCAGTTGGTGGAAAACTTCTAGTCCGACTCGATAGCCTGTTTCGCCTGTTTTGGGGTCGGTGACTTGCAGGGCGTCGGCGGGCTTTTGTAGCTTGGGGAAGTCTTCCATGGAGACCATTTGGTCGGGCACTGTGCTGTGTTAGTGATGGGGTTTGAGTGGTGAGGGCGCGGGTGTAGAGGAGTAGGGATGGTGACTTACGATATGCGACGTCCATCCATGCGTTCTCTACATCATCGGTAATACCGACATACTTCGAAGAGTTCAAAGGGTTGGGTAGTTCAAACTTTGTGTGGCTATACTCGACGACGTGTTTTGCAGGCGCTAGGTCATATCAGCCAGTATTCATCAGGGGCACGATTAAGATCTAAGTACTTACAGAAGATGTCGAACTGATCCATTAGCTTAGCCGCTGAGTGGCCCGAGTAGTCTTTTTGCGACATAACCGAGCATAGCAACGACAGCATTGATACTGTGAAAAGGAACAGGTTGAAGAGTGTGAGATAGATGTAGCTTCTCCGCCGTTGCCTATCATCGCTTTGGTAGGGTGTTGTGATAAAAGCGGTATTCTCGGCATCGCCTTGCGATGAGCTGGAGTCGGTGTATTTTTCCATGATGTTTTTCGATAGCGCGAAGAATACAATGAATGGAGTGAAAGCACAATAAAGTGATATTGAAAGAAGAAGTATTAGTCGACCTGCGATAGAGAATAGAATGCTGCGCTCAACGCTTGAACAAGACGAAGGTGAATGGAGATGGAAGACCAGCGAGCGAGTAAGTGGGAGACGTTGGCGCGAAAGACTATGGTAGACCTGCTAACATCGACCCCCGATACGTTCTCGGTATCGCCATGGGTAGGTCACCGAAACACGGAACATCTCAAAGGGTGCCGCAATGCCGTGCAGGCCGCTTTCTCCAAGGCGTCTTGTTCCATCTGCCCAGGCAACATTAGCCTTGCTCCAAGGCATCAAGCTTTTACCAAGCCTTCTGAGACGCAGAAGACGGGATCGTCGCCGCTTTTTCGTTGGTTCACCTGTTGCATGGGTTTCGAAGTGGACACTTAGCCAAGACTGGATGTTCATAATTCGGCACCATCGTTTCAGCTTGGCGCGCCAGCCAAAACGAGATTCTTACACTGACATGACACGCACATGGAACAAACGTCCCAACTGCATGATGACAGAACAACGGAAATAACGTCAAAAGTTGCCAGGGCTGGAACAACAGGACCGCGGCTGCGCGCCAATGGTTTCCGAGGTTAAACCCTTTCTGGACTAGTCTCGACCAAATGAGTGGTCAGTTCCCGAGGACCAACAGTCTCTATCAAAGCAAGCTCCAGATCGCATTGGCGATGCGCGAAAGGTACCCGGTGGGTGTTGTCGCGGAGCCTGAGGCAGGACCTCGTAGCCTGGCGGCTGGGTTGGACATGACCGTGTTCTCGAGACACCGACAGGCCTTGTCGACGGCTGGCGGTGTCGTTGGTGGAGACGCCAGGCCGTCAAGACTTTCTGTGTTTGGCTTCCCATGCAAACGCCTTCCATCGCCATCGCATCGAAGCGAGCACAGTGGCTTCCTGCAGGCGGCAGGTGGGGTGCCACCTCCGCTTCTGTGCCGTAGGCAATGCAACATGTCTCAGGAGTTGAAGGCGAGAGTGAGCAAGCATGCAACCGCCGTGCCTACCAGGAGTCGAGTTGACTTATAAAGCATCTCGAAGCTCCAGAAGTAAAAGGCATCAACGTTGAACGTGCTCATTCCTTCTCACATCCTGCTCAGTTCTGTTTCATCCATTCTTCTCTGCTGGCAGATCCATTCTTTCAACCGATTCCAGACTCAGTTAAACTTTATTCAATATGAGATTTACCGCACTTACTCTTTTGGCCCTGGGTGCCTCAACCTCTGCCTACGTTGTGCCAAACAACAAGCAAGCCGTTGACAATGCTGTCAAGGCACGCATGCCAGTAAGTTATGCGATGATCCTTGGCATGTCATATACTTACAGTTCTCCAGGGAAGCGGACCTGTCCACACATCCAACCTCGTTGCTGCCCTTGCAGACCGTGGAGTCGAAGCCCGTCACCACAAGGGCAAGGGTGGAAAGGCTGGCGGTGCCGGTGCTGGTGCCGGTGGCGCCGGCGCTGGTGGCTTAGCCAAGCTCTTCGGCCGTGATGCTGAAGAGTTGACCCAGGAAGAGGACGATGCTCATTGGGCCGACCTCCACACTCGCTCTCCTCATCACAAGGGCAAGGGCGGAAAAGCTGGAGGTGCTGGAGCCGGAGCCGGTGGCGCCGGCGCTGGTGGCTTAGCCAAGCTCTTCGGCCGTGATGCTGAAGAGTTGACCCAAGCAGAGGACGACGCTCACTGGGCCGACCTCCACACTCGCTCCCCTCACCACAAGGGCAAGGGCGGAAAAGCTGCTGGAGGTGCAGGTGCCGGTGGCCGAGGCAAGCTCAACAACCGCCAGGCCGAAGAGCTCACCCAGGAGGAGGACGACGCTCACTGGGCCGACCTCCACACTCGCTCTCCCCACCACAAGGGCAAGGGCGGCAAGGCTGCCGGCGGAGCTGGTGGCCGAAAGGTCAACAACCGCGAAGCCGTGCCCGAGCCCCATCACAAGGGTAAGGGAGGCAAGGCTGGAGGTGCTGGCGGAGCCGGTGCTGGCGGTTTGACCAAGCTCTTCGGACGTGAGCCTGAGCCACACCACAAGGGCAAGGGAGGCAAGGCCGCTGGTGGTGCTGGTGGAAAGGCCAAGCTCAACAACCGCGAGGCTGTCCCCGAGCCCCATCACAAGGGCAAGGGAGGTAAGGCTGCTGGTGGCGCTGGTGGTGCTGGTGGTGCTGGTGGTGCTGGTGCTGGCGGTTTGGCCAAGCTCTTCGGACGCGAGCCTGAGCCGCACCACAAGGGCAAGGGAGGCAAGGCCGGAGGTGCTGGCGGTGCTGGCGGCAAGGCCAAGCTCAACAACCGTGAGGCTATGCCTGAGCCTCACCACAAGGGCAAGGGAGGAAAGGCTGGAGGTGCCGGCGGCAAGAACAAGCAGAACAACTAGACGGACATTGCACCCTTTGGACTTGCCACGATAGATGTTAGGGGGCAGAAGAGTTGGTGGCGCGAGTAACCTGGATGATTCCTTTAGTATATCTTTTTCCTCATAATGTAGATACGGATGAAAACAATCTGATCAGTGATCAAAGAAAGACCGGCGTCTGGACGTACACATTGGTCTCTGTGATATGAGCGTGATTGTTCGTGAGCCATCCTGGAGGTATCCGAGCGACTTGAGAAACTTGTTCGTCGTGTAATAGTTGTTTGAATATATCCCCGTTCTTTCTGATGTGGAGTGACCGACAATCCCCGTGCACAGGTTCCCAGTGTCTGCTACTGTCGAGCGAGGTCAGCAGTAGCATCCCAAAGCGTCGAAAGCAAGGCCGCGCTAATGACAGCTATTGCATCGGCAAGATGGGAAAATGCTTGTAAAGAAATGTGTTAGTATATGTTTCTCCGAACGAGAATGAAAATATCTACCACACTTGTGTCTGCTCCGGTCCCTGTAGGACTAGACTTGTTGACAAAGTATAGTCTCAACATGTCCGCAGCATCTCCATCGATTCCGACTGCCGTTTTGGTGAACATGATTAGACCCCGATGGCCTACAGCTGTCGATGCGCGTTATTCAGTTGTCGTATGCAACCTGGAGCCGGTGGGCGCTGTGTGGTGAACCGGGCGATGGTAGGACTCGAACTTGCTTGAAGGTCCACAAAGAGCGACCGTCATGGATCTCAGGGACTCCTAGATAGTGGTTATTGGAGGTTGCGCTGCGTGTACAAGTTTCTGGAGTCGTGGTTGCATAGTGCTGCGCACTCGCCGCCATATGCCAGTGGGCAGAAATGATGGTACTGATAAGGAGCTGCACAGCCCATCGGGATGAAGATGTCGTGGGCAGTGTGTTTGCGAGAAGCAGGTAGATGGAGCAACGCACACAACCCAGAGCTTGTACTGCAACGTGGTCGACCGATCCTGTGGATGACTTGTCACAGCTTGGACACCATTTCGTCTCGCCGGGGTGAGTTCCGGCGTACGACTCCCGCCGCGATATCGCCGTGAATGGTTTGTGGCTCGTCGCAAGCGGAACGGCCTCGTTTGCAATCATTTGTTTCGCCGCCGCATATAATGTATTTACTGAACGATAACACGATGTTGATATGCATCAAAGATTGGTGGAAGGTCATTCGATGCGAATTGATGGGGATTGATGGTTGTGCATGGGCGAAGACTCCGGTGGCTCGGGAAGGATCGTCGCATCCAAAGTCAAATCACTCGCTCGTCTCATCGGGGCTAACTCCGTCGTAGCATTCACGCACAATAAAGGAAGATACCGTGGCATTGACCCGACGCAATTTCGTCGTCTCAGTTCGTTTTTACTCCGCAGATTAGACCATCACCTGTCAATTCAGGCGGCGCTTTGTTGCATGCCTTTCGCTCGTTGGTCCTCGCTCGCTTCCCGCCTCGCTGACCCACGTGCAGAATCGGGATTTCTTTCCATTTACCGTAGCCGACATTGTATCCGAGGCCGTTGAAGAGTTCGCGGATATGCTGGAAGCACTCAAGGCTCCGGTCTAATCAATGGATCTACCATCAACAATTCCCTACGAACGCCGAGCTGAGGATCCGTTATGTGTCTGAGTACAAGATCGCAAGTGTTTGTCCATTGATTGAGGATCATCGACTAGAGATGGGGGATGCCGTGGATGCTGGAGTTCTCACCAAGCCGACTGAGAAATGTTAGGCAAACTGAGCAATGCCACATGCTGAACCGGAATCGATCACTTACCGGATGTCCACGATGTTCATGACAGTGCTGTAATGAGATGCGACCATGTCTTTTGTGAAGTACCCCTCGTACGTCCTCAGACGATCAACCTTGGCCCGGTTCATGAACGGGACCAGCTTCTCCTGTTGGCACTCGGCTGCTGACTCCCAGTACAGGCCACCATTGGGTGGGTCAATGTCAAAGACCGGGGGCGCGTCTTTCATCACCCGGTAGAGTTCGCGAGCGCGCTCCAGCCGCTTCTTGTCCAGACCGCGGGCACCAGCAGCAGCTGAATCAGCAGACTCCCAAGCATGAGTGTACTCACGTTCCCATAGCTGCTCGAGGTCTTGGACACCCTGGAGATATACCTCGCGGTTTGCGTTTCGGATATCTCTTGCTGCTTGGTCTTCGCCTGGAACTGCAAACTGACACACAATCGCCTCCAAGCTCCAGTTCGTAGCAAGTGTCTTCACCTCGATGGTACTGTACTTTCCGCGGAGGAACCTTTGAATGAATGACTTCGGACCGTACCGCTCTGTTTGGACCGTGTTTCGAGCAATATTGGTAAGAACTTTCGCATGATCCTGTGACAACTCGTCATCTGGTGAACCCGCAATCGCATGGCCCATGTCGATCGGCACCGTGCCGTAGTATGCAGACCGAAGTCTTCCCCTCGCGGTTACGGTATCTTGGTTGACTGGCCATACAGGGTCGTTGACGTTGAAGCCACTATTGCGTGACCCTGCTGGAACTACAGAGGATACACAGTTAGCATTGTAAGATACACAGTATTGCCGGTCAACCTTACCACGCTGCTGCTGCTCCACGAGCTCAGACCATAGAGTGAATGCGGGGACCTCGGGGTAGATCTCCGGAGGGACGTTCACTGGTACTGTTGCCATTGTGGCGAAGGGTGTGGTGAACGAACGATGTGGTTAGAAAAAGAGTATTGTAATGATGCCGTTGAGAAAAGAGTGTAGAAGACTGGAAGTCAAGTCAGCAGCAGAACTGAAGTATACACCCGCCCACCCAGCCCACTGCCTTTACCTGATCGCGGGAGGAAGCGGGGTCACGTGGTTCTCTTACCCCAATACTGTGAGCATAATGTCGGGATTTCCGGTTTGATCAACGGTTCTAGGCGTGGTGTTACTATGGAGCGGCAGGTCAACCTTGGCCCCGGGAAGGTCTGCTCGTCAGCTTGTACATGAGCTTGACCAATCTCACGATTGATATCGCGTGCAATTGAGCCGGGGCGGCCTCCAGGGCTGATCTTCATCGGTAATTTGAGTACCGCCAATGTGGGCGTCTAGTGAGTGAGCTCACCCGCTTCTCCGTGAGGCCGTGAGTGGTGTGAGCAAGCAGCAGCAGCGACAGCGGAGCTACACTGTGTGAGGAAGGAGCTACTTTCTTCCTAGCGAACGCTTCGTTTTGCCTACTACAGCACAGCTCATCAGAGCATTACCAAAATGCATGTGTGACCCGGGCGGCTACAATGGTCTAGGGACGTGAAGCATTCGTGATGATATATTGATGTAGACGCCAGAATAGCGTGTGGTTTCCTGACTTGTGAGGCGCGAGACGCGTTTCTATCCAGCACCGGCCATCCTTGGCACACATGTGACGTCATCCATCAGTCCAATCCACCGAACTCCTCACGACGGAGGCCAAGCATGCAGTTCGCAACGTCTCCATCTTCCCGTCCGACAGCACCAAGGGCTCCCTTACAGGTCTAGTTGGTGTTCCTTCCATCTTCTTCAGGCGCTGAGCGCTTCTTGCCTCGAGTTCCTGGAAGCAGCACGGGAATATCTTTCCATGATCCGTTTTCTGCTGCCTCGAAGTCCAGAGAGTTTCGAAGGCCGCGGATCAGATCGAAACAGTGGGTGGACCGATCACCCGACATGTCGACGCTTGCCAGTCGGAGGGAACGATCATTGAGTAGCAGCAGCCTACGCTTGCCGTCCTCCGGTGCGATGATAAGACGATGCATAAGCTCGCAAGATAACGAAAACACGTTCCCCACAATTGTGTGGAACGGAGGGATGACATCCGGAGGGTTGGCGACTTCGTCGATGCACATGCGCCTGTGGGAGATTAGTAGTGTGCAAGAAGTCTCGTTCGTGTCTGTAAAGTAGATACTCACCGAATGTCGACCACAGACATCGCTGCCCCAAGGTGAGACGCGATTGTGTCTTTGGTGACGTGATCGAACCAAAACCTGACGCGCTCGTCCATCGTACGGAGTAGCAACGGGATCATCTTTGCTTGTTCGCATGCTCGGCGATTCAGGAGCGTCGCAACGTCGACAGCGCAACGGGGCGGGTTAGCCATGAGCTCTTCGCAAAGGTCGCGTGTTCGTGCCAATCGGACTTTCCTAACACCACGTGTTTTTTCGTGTGCCTTTTTAACCTTGTTGAACACGACGGTGTAGGTGTCGATCCAGACCTGCTCACTTGATGCTATTGCATCGAGTAATGCCTGGCGTTTGGCGGCGCGACGAGCAATGGCGGCTTCATCCTCGTTTGCAACCGGGAACTGACAGATGCGCGCCTCGATGGCGAAGTTGTGTTGATAGGTGAGAAAGTCGGACGTGCTGACCTTGCCGCGAGCGAACTTGTAGATGAATGAGTCATTGCCGAATTTCTCGACAAAGAGGTCGCTCTTCATCCTACGAAAGGTCTTTGCGGCGGTGGCTGTTTTGGCAGCGTCGACGTGCAATCCAACCACAGTGGCCAAGAAACCATTGGGAACAGTGCCATAGTACGCTGCAATGACTCTTCCGACCTTCTTGGCGTTGGCCATGCTGACTTCCACCTTTGGAATGCCAGTGCTAATGCCGCTGCCTGGAGTACCTGCAGTGACTGCGGATATACAGTCAGTATTCGTAGATTGAACGGAGACGAAAGAAAGCTTACCGCGTTGTTCCTGTTCGTCCAGCTCTGCGTAGAGTGTCGACATAGGAGCCTCGCAGTTTATCTCCATGACAGGTACTATACCGAAGTCGGCCATGTTGAGGATTGTGTTTTAGTCGATGCTGAGTTATGAACGATGTCGAGTGTGGTGTAGGAGACTGGGAGACAGGTCAGCAACGAGGTTGAGTATATACCCGTCGATCAGACCTGCTACCTTTACCTGGAGGTGAGAGAAGGCGTCGTAGTGGTGGGCACGTGGTCGCACGTGCTGGTTTTACCTCGCCAAAAAAATTCGAGTGTGGTTTGGAAACATATCGCGTTGTTTACATCTTCATCTTCATCCACAAAGAAGCTAATAGACATTACATGCGGGAGACTACATAACCTGTACTTCCTCAATTGATCACAGGCAGGTGTTCCTCGGAAGTCTACTACGTTATCGTCTACATGGATATGCCAACATCTGAAAAGACTGCGAGGACCTCATGATGTCATAGTACTAGCCAGATTGTACAGATAATGCTCTAAATGAGGAAAACAGTCGATGTTCCGCTAAAATCTTGACGATTCGGGCTATTGTTCATCTGAATCTTCTTCCTCCTCTTCCTCTTCCTCTTCTTCTTCTTCCGACTCCTCCTCCTCCGACTCCGACTCAGTCCAATCCTCCTCGCCTGTTGACGAATCCCACGGCTCAGGCGACGCAGAAGAGCGACTTTCCTCCGCATCAGTGGCGCCCTCGCCATCTTCTTCCTCGGTGCTCGGCTCCAGCTCTGAACTGTTAATATCGCCATCTTCGTATTTCCGCCTCAACTTCAGTCGCCTCTGATTCTTCTTCACCCAAAGCCTATGATCTTCCTTCTTTTGTTCCCGCGCTTGCTCTTCTTCTCTCTCCCGTCTCCTAATTGCTTCCGCTTGTCTGACCCGAAATTCTTCATCTTCCCTCCTCCTACGAGCCATGAACGCTTTCTGTTCACGCTCCTTGTGTTCCTTCGTGTTTTGTATCGCATTCCAAGTCACCCTTTTCGCTTGTCCATTTGCGAGCTCCTCTACAGAGCCCATGTCGCATTGCATCCTCATGTACCCATTTCCTGCGAACCACATCTTGATTTCCCGACATCGACTCGATGTTTTTACGACAATGGGCTCGAGTGAAGCCTCCTGTGGCCAGTCAAACGGTTTGAAATCTCCTTTGATCTGTCTGGGTCCAACGATAGTGCCATAAGTTTCCGGGCGGCCACAGTGGCAGTCCATGAAATCCACTTCTGCGTCAGGATCATGAAACTCGATCCATTGATTTACGCAAAACTGTTTAAATTCCATATTGTCGATATTCCAGAGCAGGAATTCCGTAAAGACTTCGCTTGAGAAAAGACTCCACTTGCCGTGCTTGACGTAAGGGTTGTAAATGCCCGGGGCGGGCTTGCCTTCTTCCAACGTCTTTTTGAGCGACGCGAACGCTGCGCTGACTTGTGCGTCGCGCTCCATTACTTCTTTGATATGATCGACATTTAGTTCGCGAATGATGTTTTCGGGGTCGCCGCGAGGAACACCACCAATCTTCCAATGCACCTCAAGTCGACGGCGGAGTGGCACTCGTTCCATCGCTTCAATGTACCTGGTAATCTCTGCTCTGGCTTCTCTCAAGCCGTCGGGCACGGGATCAGGCGGCGGGTCTTCTGGTTCAATTTTGATCTTCTTGTGCGCTCGTACAGAGGCCTCAGTGGACCTCTCATGACGAGCAGTTGCGGTGCGCTTTGGTGGCATGTTTGTTGGCGATTTTGTGTTTCCAGAGAAGGGTTCGTACTTCTCCGCACCCGACGTGGAAGTGTTGGGCCTTATTTGTGCCGCGCGAGAGGAGTTGCAAGGATGCGCGCCGCCACCGAGCCAGCAACCCTTGCAATGCCTAGATAGTCGCTATCTACCAGGACTGAAACTACTCCGGAATGCGAGAGATGTTTTAGGGAAGCTGGATTGTGGGCTCTGTTGTTCTCTTCGCGCAGTTCCTGTGACGATGCAATTGCAGCTATTACGAGTTGAACGTCGCCAAGGCAGGGTAAGTTGAGTACGTCACGGTCGTCAGTTTGATCTCTTGTGATTCGTGCTCCTCCCTACGAAAGGCATATTGAGCTGGAGTATTCCTGGGCGAAAGTTACAGATCATCACATTCCAGCTCTGAATCATAACCGAAAATACAACCAATGGGTATTGTGATGCAGCGTTTCGTTTGTATTGTACACATTGCGGATCATCATGATATCCTCATGCCACATATGATACATGCGCAGTGCTCGCAGGGCGCGCGGTCCTGAACCCTCGACGTAGCAAAACGTGGGGTAAGTCTTCCCCTCCTCTCCGGCCTTCTTCCGACACAGTTCTTTTTCCTGCCCCCCTGCGCTATCATGAATCTGTACAAGCGAAGAGTATGCCGTCCATCCATGCCATGCATGCCAAAAGTATATCCCTACAACTCCAAAAGTGGGATTGATGCCGCGTATCTTACACAATGACCTCTCCGTGGTCGACGTGGTTCGGCCGCCACTTGCTCGTATCCAATTCGCCCTCCATGCTGCTTGGGACGGTGACCTCGACCGGCTTGTATAGGTACCATGCCTTCAATGCTGCTGCCGCTGCTCTTGTCTTGGCCTCATCTAATGAACTGCCTGATCCCTCTCCTAGCTTGTCCTTTCCGCTGTATACCCCAACCACGAACACAGGATGTCTGCTTAGACGACCAGTTTCTGAGATCAATCGGGCGACCGGTGGCTCGAAGCCCTCTCGTGCGCATAACCGTGAAAGATCGCGTGTCGGCATTCTGAAGTCGAAAATCGTGCTGATGTCGAGATGTCGGCTCAGGAAGTGGTCACGGAAAAAGCGCTTGACGAGCGGGGAGCCCAGGTGTACGTGTAATGCGCCGATGAGTGCTCGGACGAAGGACTGTGCTGCCTCTTCCAGTGGTACTGGCGTGCTTTGTAGCGCGTGCGGGCTGGGTGCGGCATTGTCGGAGCCAAATTCGTCTGTCTTCATGATCTTGTGTGTGGTGGTGATATTCCACTTCCAGGGTGCTTGCCGCCTCAACTCTGCTGGGAGGGCATCGCCCGACTGTATCCTCTTGAATTGTAATAAGCCAGGGTCGACTTCACCACCCGGCTCCGCCGCCGCCTCGATACCCCATTCGCTTGCGATTGTGGTCAACGCTCTCGGTCCGATGTATGCCTCTGTTGCGGCGAAGACGACGTCCATTGGCAGGCGTGGGTAGTTGCATAGAAGCCACTCGGAAGTGTAGTAGCCAAGCAGCTGGCGTCCGAGTATTGATAGCGAGGCATTATTGAAGGCGGGGTTTGGGTCGGCGGAGGGGTGGATGAGGGTTCGTGCGAGAACCGGGAGGGGAAAGCGAGGTGGGAGAGATAATCGACTGCGGAGGGCGTATAATTTTGTCGAACGTTCGGCGGCACTGGGATGTGGAGATGGGAGGCTCTCGAGCGGGAAGCGCCTTCTTGGTCTGGGTGTCGACGTTGACGGTGTGGCAGAGTTTGCGGCAATCTCGAGCTCCAATTCACCGTCGTCCGGAATTGCTACTGTGCTCTGGAGCCGAGCCTGTATCCGGTGGCTATGAGGTATAATGCTTCTCCGCACGTTCTTTGCCGCTGTGTATGTGCACGAGGGCCGGCGTGGCGAGGGTGCACCCAGCAATTGCGAGGCGCATCGTGATATGGGTATCCGCTTCATTAAGACAAAATGTAGGAGAAGACGGCAGCAGGATCAGGAGAGGCGGAGTCGGCGGCAGCAGCAATTGGCCAGTCGTGTGTTCACACAGGTCATGATCGCGACTGCCAAAGAATTTCCGCCAAGCTTCGGGGCCCGTGCTAGCCCACCCATGCGACAGCGACCTCAGGGCAGCTCCGCAACAGCAACCCCACGAACCCGCACAACCACCTTTACAATGGGCGGAGGAGGAAAGATCCCGTATGAGAAGTCCGCCAATCGCTTGCCAGTGCAGAGTTGACGTCGACTAGATACCCCAAGCACGTCTGGTCGCCGGCCGGTGGTTGGTACGCCCAACCCGCCAACTGGAAAGCCAACACGGCCGTCGTAGGCCTCGCCCTCGGCAGCATCGTCGGCATGGCCTGGATGCTCAGCGCAAACCGCGAATACCGCGACAAGATGCCCGAACGCCACCGATTCTTCCCCAGCCGATAGTACGACATCCACGGATATCCTCAGATCAGACTTGGAAGCTAACAACAGACAGCTGGACCAAACAGATTCGGGAACACGAGCGGAAACAAGACCAGAGCATCATCGAGAAGACTCTTGAAGGTTAGATTGGTTGGGAGTGGGGGTGAGGGAACAGCGACCACAACTATGGCTGTATATAACTAGCCAGGCGCTGCTTGAAATCTGAAAGCCTATCTTCGACACGAACCCCGTTCCACGTCTCCCCGTCTGCTGATTGTGAGAGAACGGGCATACCGACTTGCTCAATGGCGAAGCTCGCCGAGATGGACCCCCAAATCGCAGCCTCCTCGAGATACCCTGGTACCCGAACCAGGCCGACCGCCAGTCCGCCGAGAAAGCTGTTGCCTCCTCCTGTAGGGTCTTCCACTTTCTCTGCTGACTGGTGGTACGCAGGCATCCATTTGCGCAACCCGTTGCCTAACCCTTTGCGCATAACCAGGCAACCGTCTTTCCCACAACGCACGACGACCCCACCATTGCCATTACCCACACCACTGTCTAGCCACTGACCGCATAGCTCTTCGATTGTTCGGAAATCCACATGATCCTTCCCGTCGGTATTCTTGCCAAAGAAGCCGCCAAGTTCCCCGTGGTTCGGACTGACAATGTCGACATGCTTTAGCGCCTTCAGACAATTATCGTACTCTTCTGGCGTACAAAGATCAGGAACAGGCTCCCAGATGAATATTGGCCGAAGAATATGAGCCGAGTTAGGGTGTTGCTTGCGCAATGCAATGATGTTCTCAACCAGGTCGATGCAACGTAACGGGGAACAGATCAGATGAAAGGACTTGGACCACAAGAGATCTGTATTCTTCAGATCCTCATGGTCAACACGCAGCTTCGGCGTCAAGTATCGGAAAGCTTCGTCAGTGATTAGACATGTGGCCACTCACAATCAAGACACAGACGCTCACCTCGATGCTCGTTTTCACCAGTATATCCATTCCAACCTCGCGTAGTCAGCCGATTGGGCGTCTCACGTATCAGTGCACCAGTCTTCCATTGTGCAATGAAGTCGCGTAAGTCAGGTGGGAAATCAGACCCGCAGTCTACAATCCAACCCACGGACTCTGATTGTGGCGGCGGAGAGAAGATGCGTGCGCCTAATGCGGAATATGATCCAGCTCCGCCAACGATGTCTTTGACTGGCGGTTTTGGCGGGGGAAACTCAATCTCATCTTGACAAGTTCAGTGGCTTGCATGTGTTGAAGAATATCTGACGCATACCGATGATGAACATTCCCAGCGTGCAGAAGTCGATCTTGCCATAGTTGTCGTGTGCTGCGTCGGCCATGTTGGATGTTTCCATGTCGCCTTGCGTAGATCGCAAGGTTGATAGTCTGCCGCTGACGTGCATGTCTCGAACGGACCAGGCTTGGCTGCAGACGGCTAGCGCAACGTGGGCAGCCGTGGCCATGCGCCGGGGAGAGCTGACCCAGTGAGGTTCTGCCTGCAATTGTGCTTTTCCAATTAAATATCTCCGACAGTCCTCATATTCCTATCATCGAGAGCTTGGATTGCTAGATCACGGCCTCTCTCTACTCCGAACCAGCCAGATCGCGTCGCACGAGCTGCAGCGTGCCGCGGCTGCCCCTTCCCCGAGCATTCAAGATACCTGTCCTACCTTGCAAACGCTGCGACGTGCCTTCTCCACATGGCGAACAACATGAATAACCTGACGACGCTGATCAAGCGGTAAGTACCTTCCGTCCAAGACTATCACCTACCAGCACCCGAACCCATCATCCTACCACACTCTGCGCATCCCGCATCCTCTATGAAACGACCCCACGATGGCTCCCAGGCCCGAACAAGCACACATCCTCGGTCGACAGGGGCAAATACAGCTTGCAGCAGACAATGTACTGACGAACATGGTCCGCAGGCTCGAAGCTGCCACCTCGCGTCTCGAAGACATCGCGAGCACCTCTCTACCCAGCAGCGGCGATGGAGCCGCCAGCCTCAATGGAGCGTCCACCGAGGCCACTCCAGGCGTGACCGCGGCCAACACAAGTGCCAGCACCCCCAAACTCGTCGCAGAAAGCGCACCACCGGCGATTGAGGCTTTCGATGAGCTCGTCAGCTCGGACCTGAAGAACTGGCTGGACCTGAGCAGCAAGCTGGGAAGCGTCATTGAGGGCCAGTCCAAAGCAGTCGAGGGCGCATTCGCTGCCCAGCGCCAGTTCCTCTTCATCGCGAACAAGGCCAAGAAGCCCGACGACCGCACTCTCATGGAACTGCTCAAGGATCTCCAGGCGAGCATGGAGAAGACAGACGAGTTCCGACAGAGCAACCGCGACCCTGCGCTCAAGGACTCCGTCTCCATGGTCGCCGATGGCGTCGGATCGCTTGGTTGGGTCACAATTGGCCAGGGCGGAGGCATGAAGCCCCATGAGCACATCAACGAGCTGTTCGGAGGAGCTCAGATGTACGGCAACAAGGTGCTTAAGGAGTACCGGGACAAGTAAGACTTTCTACCGTTCTACGCGAGCAAGCGCTGACAGATCCAGGCCCGACGGTGAAGCCCATGTCAAGTGGGTGCAAGCCTACTACAAGCTGTTCAAGGCTCTCGCCGAATACGCAAAGAAGCACCACGCTACAGGTGTAGCCTGGAACAGCAGCGGCATCGACGCCAAAGATGCCGCGAAGGAAATCTCCTCGGCACCTCTCTCTGGCGCATCCAACATTCCTCCAGCACCACCCGCTCCTCCAGCAGGAGGCGTCCCAGCACCGCCTGGTCCTCCACCACCACCGGGCCCACCGCCACCACCAGGTGCCGCACCAGTGGCTAAGAAGGCCGCGCCCGACATGAATGCTGTCTTTGGCGATCTTAACAAGGGCTCAGATGTTACAAAGGGGCTTAAGAAGGTCGACCCAAGCCAGATGACGCATAAGAACCCATCATTGCGGGCAGGCGCATCGGTCCCTACACGAAGCGACAGCAACGACAGTCTCAGGAGTAAGAGTCCTGCGCCACCCAAGGCGAAGAAGCCCGAGAGCATGCGGACGAAGAAGCCACCGAAGAAGGAGCTGGACGGAAACAAGTGGATAATAGTATGTATCTGAGATGACTGGAGACGAGTGCCAAACTCAGCACTAACACCTCCACAGGACAACTTCGACTCCCCAGGCGAGACGCTCGAAATCGACGCCGAAATCAACCACTCCATCCTCATCTCGCGCTGCAAAAACACCACCATCCGCGTCAACGGCAAAGCCAACGCACTCTCGCTCGACAACTCCTCCCGCACATCCCTCATCATCGACTCGCTAGTCAGCTCCGTAGACGTCATCAAGTGTCCCAACTTTGCGCTGCAAGTCCTCGGCACCCTCCCCACCATCCTCCTCGACCAAGTCGACGGCGCCACCGTATACCTTTCCAAAGACTCGCTAGCAACCGAGGTCTTCACAAGCAAGTGCAGTAGTATCAACATCAACCTGCCGACCGAAGATGACTACGCTGAGAACCCGTTGCCGGAGCAGATCAGGAGCTACGTCAAGGATGGTAAGCTTGTTAGTGAGATTGTGGAGCATGCTGGATAGACGGTGTCTTCTAGTGTGCTGTGCTTTCGCGAACAGGCATCTTGGATATCCGCTGCGTTGCGTGGGTGTGACTGCTACTTGATTTGCATAGCTAGCTTGGCTGGTGCGGACGGAGTGGGTAGCTTCGCGTCTGTAGGATAGATCTGTATAGACCGTTATTACTACACACGCAAGTGGCCTTTTCTCACGACGAGCTCGAATGAAGGAACTTCTTCCTTGGTGATACTAGTGAAGTTGTCATACTCTCATAGGGACATGGCCGTAACAGCTGACACCACAGTAGTCTAATTCATTAGCCTGGACGCATTCGATGCGATCCACAGCAACGCGTGGCCAGGTAGTAGATGTCGTGTGCTTCCGGATACATCGTCAGCTCTACAATATGATCATCATCAGTGGCATGTCAACGGCAAAGACTTTGGGAAGGGTAGATTCCATTGATGGCAACAGCTACGTATAGAGAGTAAAGCATTTTGATGGAACGGAAGTCTGATAACATCATGATATAGCATGCTTAATAGCGTCATGCTGACCTGCATCAACACCCATTAACCACACCAAATGATCATGCGAAGCTGTCCACCAGTGTCAATGAAGATACTCAAGGCCAGGACCCGATGTTGCTTTCGATTGGCGAAGATATTGCTCCGCTGATGCTCATAACTGGCGAAGCCATTGCCACGCCAGCGCAAGCGCGAGCGGGGTTCATGAGTATAAGGCGTTGATCACTCTTATCAATCGCTCACGATTGTCGTCGATCCAGTCCTCGTCGAGATCCCAGGCGTCTATCATGCCACAGTCCAAGAAAGTGCCAACATGATCCGAAAGGGTAAGGTCATGTTCTGAGGCGTGCTCAGTGTAGTCACGGACGAATGAAAGTCCTAGCTCAAGTAGCTCCATTTTGTCCGTAACTGGGTGTGTCAATAAGAATACACCAGAAGGATCATTTGTTACTCACACGAGCCTTGGAGGGATTCATAGGACGGGGCAAGTGGGCTCATTTCTTCGTCTTGGGTGGCGGGCGCCGACTGAGTACTCGCATCGACCATGCGGGTCTCATTCTCGTTGACATAGACACGGACGTGTGGAGCTCTGAGGCTATGTGAAACGGTAACAGTGGTGGTGCCGAGCTTCTCTTCATTGATATGGTCGATACGAGAACGCTTCGTTGGACGTGAGTTGTCAACGGGGACAGGAGCAGTTGGCCGCTTCACTGACGGTACCATTGTACCACCAGCGGCAGGCTCTTCGGTGATGCCTCCAGACCGAGGACCGCTGCAAGAGATGGCGCCAGTACTCAGCATATTTTTGACGCAATTGCCAACGAACCAACCCATCGCCGTAGTCAGGTCAGTCTCAGCGACGTTGGAGATCGCAGCGTGTGTGTCCTCGAAGAGTGACATTGTGAAGTAGCGTAGAGCAGCAACCGAGAGTGTGATTTCGCTGTGAAAGATCGGCGGCTTATCCAGACGGTCCACGAATTGTTTGATCAAGTCTTCTTGAAGGGGCACGAGTGACTCAGCTGCTGCCGGTGTCATGACGCCGGCAGCGACGGCAAGGTTAGCCTTGGACTGTACGGCATGGCGAGACGACGACATTGGAAAGACGAGCGGAGACGAGCGAAGACAAGCAAAGACAAGCAAAGACGAGCGAAATTGAATTAAGTTGAAAGCAAGCAGGATGTGAAGCGAAGAAGTGGAAACAGGAACGTCTCTTGATTGTGGTGTGGGTCGATGTGAGTGGAAGTGAGGAGGGAAAGTACGGGGGACTTCTGATGTACCCGGGTGTTTACTGCGGCCTTGGTGGGTGACCATTGTTTACCGACGCGTCCATGATGTCAGGTGCTGTACGGATGTCGCGTCTGCGTCTTGAGGAAGGAGCCACGGTCTGACCTCCATCCACGCACAAGGAACATCTCCGTGTCAACCACAACGTTCTAGTGCGCGCTCACTTGAAGGCACTTCCGTGCATATATTTACATCGTCAGACCGTTCGAGTCTATGCGTCCCTTCAAGAGCCGACCGTATTTCGCTCGTGTGTCTGCTCTTTCCCTGATCGTCAGATGTTCGCACGACCTGAGGGGGAAGGAATTGGTGACAACGATGTAGATGATGCAAGTGCCAGCGAGCACTCTACTTCACTATTCACACCAATTTCACATTGTTTAGTTGTTGAAATCTTTTGTTACACTCAATTGATGTGTTCTCTGTCTTTGACTTCCCTCAGTTCCGCCGCCTTTGCTTACCCTGCTTCAACTTCCTGATTAGATGCCTAGGTGAGACCTGAGCAAGACCTGAGCGGGGCTTGAGCAGGTCTTGGGTACAAGTCTCACTCAGGCTTCGTTCAAGTCATATCTAGATGATATCATAGCTCTACTCAAGCGCCGGTACGGTCGGCTCCGCAGTCTCCTTGTATTCCTTGTACTCTCCAAAGTCGACAGAGGTGTCGAAGTCGACAAGCTCCTTCAACGGATCTGGGTAGCCAGCATCGACCTTGTAGCTATGGAATTGTCAGTCGCAAAGCCACGTCATCCTTTTGTGGTTGGTACCTGAAAAATGGTTCCATGGGCGCAACAAACAAGATCTCGGCGCCTTCAGCCTCCTTCACCGCGTCCATGAACTCGTTCCACTTTGTAAAACTATCCTCCTCGTGAGATAGATAGACCTATCAAGTTTAGTCACATGTGTGTTATGCTCCTGGAAGACTCACTTGGAACAACATGCTGACTAGAAGCCGACCTTGTGCGTCTTCAGCGCCGGTAGACTTGGGAGTGGCGCGCTTTCGGGGTGCAGGTGTGCGGTCTGCCATTGCGATCGTGAATAGATCAAGGTTAGAGTTGGTTTCTGGGTATTGGATTTTGATAGTGTTGCTATGGTGTCGGTGTCGATGCGATTGATAAAGTGAGAGACAATGACTCTAGACTGCAACCGGTGTAGCGCCATGTAACACTAGGACACCTCTTCAGAAGTGAGAGCTTCTCTGGTGATCTAGCACTTTCCTCTTACCATATCTACAATCAGCATTGTTCATCACGGCCGTAAAAGACTGACCTGTTTCGCGCCTCCACATGCGGCCAAGCTGATAGCTGAGGATCGCATTTCGTGGAGGTTACCGGGGATATGTGAGTAATTGTTAGAGTCAGGGACAGGTGCATTACTGTCATCCAAACTCGTCGTCACGGTTGCGTGAATGACGTCCTCTCAGTGTAAAAGCAGCTCATGATCATTGCTCTAAATGCTCGCTGGATGCCGCGTCGCTAACAAAGATGCTATGGAACGAGGAAAAAGTGGAAAGAAAGAATTTACCAAGAGAATCTTCCAAATGGGGTCGCAAGAAGGGGTATCAAAGGTCCGACCCAAATCCAGTACGGACAAGATATCAAGAAAGTAAGAAAGGCCTCCCTGCCTGGGGCCACCGTACACACATCCTCGGCGTATTCTCGTTGATGTCGTGTCTGAGGCGTTGTAGGGCTCCGTCTCATCCCGAGCTGTCAAGTTTCACACTCAACTTCGGCATCGGCATGCCAATTGCCCGACAACCATCAAAAGTCGATGTCTAACATGTTTCGCCAAGTATCACCTCAGCGCAAGTCCATGTTTGACACGCTGTCCGAAGTTTCCGATTACCAACCACCCGCTGGTTCTAACCTGCGGGTCTGCGTCTGGAAATAACCATCGAAGACGCTTAGCTCCGGTTTACGTGGCGCGTGATGCTCCGAAATGTCGACCAGCGTCGCGGTTGTTGCTCCGTTGACGCCGAGTGACGCTGCTGCCTGTCCACTATAACCGCCGCCGTCTAAACTACGTCGTCTTCCGCCTGTAGCTTTGCCGCTGTTCAGGCTGGCCAGCACAAAGCGCATCTTAATCCTCTCTTTCGGTCCCGGTAGGAGCATCTTCTCAATAATGGTCAGCCAGTCGGCTTCCGCTTTCAGCTGCCTGAGCTTCCTTCCAGACCCGATGAGTCCGTTTCGGAGGTTCGAGGTGGTGGCAGCGTGGAGCCGGTTTCGCCAACTTGCTACCCGGTCGAGATGTGCATGGTATGAGGCGTCCTGGGTGTTCGCAGCCCGGTACTGTGCAAACACTGATAGTGACTGGCCTTGTGCGACTGTCATCATCGACAAGAACACACAACCCAGCGAGAAAACGTCTGCCATTCTCTTACCACGTGAGACAATAGCCTCTGGTGCAGCGTAGACGTATGACTGGTCTTGGAAGTATGTGTGTAGCTGGTCCAGGCGCTGGGAGTTCGCCATTGTCGGACTGAACGTGTCGATGCTCTGCCCAATGTCGAATGGAGCAAGCAGAATGCGCGCACCATCAATCAGGATTTTGCGAGGCCGGATGCTACGATGACAAATGGACTGCGAATGGAGATATTCAAGAGCGGATGATAAGTCACCCATCCAGTCCACCAGCAACTTCGAGCGGTTTGGGTCGCTTCCAGGGAGCGCGAGGAAATCGTCCAGAGTGTATTGTGCTTTCTCTGTGAGAATGCCGACGTGACTCGGCTGAGCGTACGAGCAAAGCAACTTTGCAATGTTCTTGTGCTCATATTGCTTGAATTTGTTGATCTGGTCCAACAGCGCAGCTTTTTGAGCGGAGCGAGCAGTGACAAAGCGCTTTCGCACAAGCACACGATCCTCACTGCTACCTTGCATCTTAACCCAGTCGACGCTCTTCTCAGAATTGCGCGACGATCGAATGAGACTGATGTGCTGTAGTGGCACTGTTTCACGTGCCGTATAGTCAACATGTGCTCCCGTCAACGGTAGTTCCTTGGATGTGGCACGCCATTGTTCGTCGACGACCTTCCGCGCATTTCCTACGATTCCTTGAAGACGGTCCTCTGGGAATGGCAGGCTCTCATCTCGAAGGTCGAAGAAGGAAGCTTGGCGCCATGATGCGACATCGTCGCAAACGAACAAGAGGATTGCGAGCCTGGGGTTCGACAACGTCCACTGCCATATCTTCTTGACTAGGCCAGCGTCCCATCCTTGCTTTCGCACGAGCTCATAGAACCACCCGGAAAGAGACTGGCCTTGTGAAGATAAGATTGATGTGTTGATGTATCCGTTTACTAACGGAACAAGGGGAGCAGCAGGTTGTCGGTATGGGTTCATGGGTGACCCCGGGTAATCGCCATTCCTGAACGACTCACCAGAAGCTGAGGGAGGCGGTGACATGGGCGCAAATCCTGCTACCGGATTAATGACCCTTATTGGCTGGGGGGCGATGGGCTGGGGCGTTGTCGATCGGCTGGTGTATTGCGGGGTATGTTTTGGGCTGCCTTTGGGCGACGATGAGTCGGACGACTTGTTGGAATATGTCGAAGCCGGGCTGACCATGACATTCGACCACGGGTTGTTGTTCGTTGTTGTGGGCGTTGTACTTCGGCTGGTGGCGGATGAGGCGGACGAGACTGTTGGAGATGCGGTCTCGCGGTTGTTGTACCACGATTGATCATCGTCTCGGAGGTTGACCATGGATATGGTGTGCTGGAGGCTGTATTGGGGTTTGGGATATTGCATCGCAGGCGTCCGCCATGGCGAGTTCGAGGCGTGCTGCATTGCGTGCAGGTGGTCGGCGCGTGACCAACGAAGAGCGTCCTCGAGGAATGTTAGATGTTTGCAGCGACTGTAGACTCGCCTGGTGTAGGCTTGTGACGATGTGCAAAAACAAACAAAGAGAATGAGCGTAACAGAGCGAGAAACGTGAGAGCCTTGAAGGACGACTTGGGTCCAGGTGCCCTGGTCTGCAGATGAAGTACAGCGGGACCCTTCGGGCAGAGTCGACCGCTTACACTGTGACAAGCCCAAATAAGGCTGCCCCAAGTAGAGGTCTAGAGGCTTTTGATGTGCTGGCAGTTAGTGCCCGCATTTTGCAAGACATTAGTGGAGGATGACAATATATGGGCATAGGCAGTGGGTGTATGTGTTGGGCGAATGCACGCTGGGCACAAGCGCACCCATGTGGATTAGTTGTATGCAGGCGAACGTGGCCACCTCAGAGTCGCCTTCATCGTCAAAGGCGTATCGTGTGCATATGTTCGCAGCCCATACTTTCCCGTATGGTGCCAGATCATCGAGCAGTCTGATATGGAGCGCGCGATCCGTCCCGTACCCAGTAAGTGTGGTCGGCAGTGTGCCTGACTATGCGTGCGTTGCGCGACAAGGCCGCTAAGTTGCTGCAGGACTAAGACCACACGACGAGCAACGGACGCAGGACGCAGGACCTCTGTGCTCTGGTACACAGTGAATAACTATTGGCATAAAGGGAGATACCGCGGATATGCGCGTTGGGGTATTGGCCGGGTGGAGGTTGGGACACGAGGTTTCACAGCTCACCGTCTCTTCTCGGCACACGCACCGGGAACAACTAATGTCCGTGTGGCTTCGGGAGTGACGTGCTTCGACAGCAGCAAGGCGGCTGGGTCCGTTGGGCGGTATTGAAGATGCGGTCGATGTTGTACAGTTGTCCAGATGTTGCGCCCGGCGACCCGCCTGTATCAGCGCGAGTGTCGCAGGTCCAAGATGACAGCGGCCGCTACCCGTGTCAACATCGCCCGTTTCTGAGGAAGCACGCGCCGGAAGCCACACCGCAGGAGGTTTTGCGATGCACCGATGGCGCAGCGGAGGCTGGTGCGATGGGAAACTCAGGATATCGGCTTCTGCACGGCTTGAGGGTGAAACCGAGAAGCCGGGAGAGGCGGCACACGACGATGCTATTGGCTCGGAGGACGACGTCACGTGCCCTGCTAGCGCACACCTGAAGCGCCCCTAGTTTTAGCATCGTTCTCCGACTCCAGACCTCAACACCAATTGTCTCAAGGGGCCCAGCATCGTCATGCCCAGTGCGCCCCCACTCCCGAACGGTTCGATCTCCAGGCCACAGCTTGGTTGGCTCCCACCAAATGCGGCTCTACTATGCTAAATTAAGCTTCTTCTTAGTCGCCTCGGGATCAACGCATAGAAATGTCGTGTGCCACCCGTCACAGCCTCAAGCAGAGTCCGTCTCAACTCTGTTATGGAGCCTCAAGCCAGTCTTGGTGCTGCTTTTCGAGTCTGGTGCCCGACCTGAGTCACGCCATTGCGAGCCGTTCTCGTCCGATCCACCCATTGCCGTGATTCGCACACCGCGTTTCTTCATGCTCGCGTGTTCGACTTTTCTAATTCGCTTTTGCTAATGACACTTCTAATGCCCGTTTCTTTTCAGCAGTGATTAGCTTTTGCTTCGTCGTTCTTTCTTCGCTCGCCACTTTCTTTCTCGTAAGCTGCTGGGCAGCCCGGCCACCTTCGCACTACCGACTTTAATTTTCCGGCGTCGACTAATACTACCTCGACCATGTTTTTCAAGAGCGCTTTCGTAGGCACTCTGCTTGCTGCTGGACACGCAATTGCCTTCAAGGGCCCCCAAGTGAACGCGCTTCTCGAGCCAGGCCAGGACGTGGAGGAGGTACTTCGGAGGGACGCAGAGCTCATGGCAACCCTTACGCAAAGACAAGATGCCAACTCTGCCGATACAGCACCGCTAGCATCGCTGACACCCGCGACTGGTGATGCGTCGGGTGTCGATCAAGCGAAGTGGGAGCAACAGACAAAGGAAGCATGTATGAGCACGCTCAGCAATCTCAACGGCCAAGCGTCGAACCCGAGTGGAATCGCCGTATGCTACAACCTACCTTTCCTTGACAACAAGACGGGTGTCTTCCAGGCGGAGCTCCGAATGTATAATGTATCAGCTCCCATCAACCCATGGGTTGGCGTTACCGCGGCCGATGTCAGCATGACACTTTCGTACCTCGGTGCGACTGTGCAGAACATGCAAGGCAACTTTACCAAGCGAGACCTCAGCTGGCCAGTCAGTGAGGGTATGCTGGTTGAGAGGCAGGACATCAACAGCATGACGGAACTCAAGGTCCTCATGTATGTCGGAAGGATTAATGAGAACCTGATGGGCTCAGCCATGACCCAGTACGTATCCCTCTTCGTCATTCATATTTCTGTCTCTAACATATTTGCAGAGAATCCCTCCAGCCCCTTCTCATCCCGCAAATCGACCTCGCTGCGCGAAACCCTGCAACCGGCCAGGATGTCGAAACCACTCTCTCTTCCCAGGAGGCATCATTCGTCAATGGTATCTTCTCCAAGGCAGGTAACGCTCCCACCAACGCAGATCCCCAAGCCGCAGCATCCGCATCCGCTGCCGTCTCCTCGGCCGCACCGTTCATCATCCCCGGAACTGCCTTGGCTTTCTTCCCAATCGGTCTGGTTGTCACATCCGTATGGGCGCTCTTCTTCTTCCTTGCCGTTGGATTCGGAACATACGGTCGCATCCAATACCGTGACCAATACAGGAGGCGTGTACGCGCCGAGTTGGCACGTGGCGTCCGCACCATCTAATACCCGACTTGGTGTCTCTGTTCATTGCTTCGCTATTTCTAAGAGCTAGTATCGGAAGTTTAGGCTACTATGAAGATTACGTTCGCTGCTATACCCCTTCCCTTTTACACCTTGTACATAATTCTGGTGGCGATGGAGCTAGCTCCTCCCACCATCTTCCCAGCAGCATCCCGGCGATGAGTCCCTACATGTTCTCAGCAGCGTGATTAGAAAAGCACATTCAAGCAAGTAAAACAATGGAAAACTCAGTATTGTCGAACATCTCTTGGCTTCCGCGTTACCCGTATCCCGTCATGTCTTTCACTCCAATTATCATCGAGTTCACGGTCGTAACCGTTAGTTAGGTCGTACACGGTACGCACGCGCTTCCGTCTAGACCATCAGAGACTGCCTCTAGTCGACGCTGGCTTGATCGCCTCTGCCTTTTGTCTCGCGGTCTTGCAACCCAGCCTAATCGAGGTGTTTTCCGGTTTTGGTAGGTCCCAATCTGCTTTGAGAGGTAAGTGGCTCGGATCCGCAGTGGCTTTTGACGATACTACAAGCGCCCTACAATACGAGACTCGGCGGAGGCGAGCATGCTCTCGCTGTAAGATCATGGTGAGACTAGATTCGGACTAATTCGCTGCAGTGATTTTGGCAGTATCTTGGCCTTGGCCACCACCCCGACATTCATTCACGAAAACCCAACTTCAATTGCTATGCCGCGCTGTTCTACAAGCGAATGACTATCGTAGGCGTCTCCCCCTACTCTAATCTTGGCTCCATCTTCAAGAAAGTCTCGGAATTGAAGCGGAAGTCGTGGAGCTCGCAACAGGACCGTTTGCATAGTTGCCACGCGCCGCCACTCGGGCCCAGTGCAAAGCGCCTTCACCGGACCAACGAGTGACCACTTTGTCTCTTCAATTGCTGACACCCACCGATCAAGCCGAACAATCGCTATTAGCACATACTTTACACTCCTTGGCCCGCTGCGCGACACTATTCTTCTTCTCAGGCCTCACGCTCATTCAACAACATTGCCATCGCTCCCTCACTGTTAACATTAACAACCGCGCTCTCGATATACGTTCATTTGGACCCCTCGGAAGGACTCCGTATACCACCAGATATCGGAGCAACATGAAGACCTTCGCCATCATCCTCGCGCTCGCCGCCACCATTGTGTCCGCCACGCCCGCCGCAGACGAGGGCACCACGCTCGTGACCCGCGACGCAAATTGCGACTTCTGTTTGGAACGCTACAACTTCTGCCTAAAGGTAAGCGACAGGGCATGCTATAGCTCGCTTTGCGGTTTCCACTGACGACGCTACAGAACGGCCATACTGAGGGACAGGCCGGTTGCAAACAGACCTGTGTGGAGCATGTGTGCCATGTGTACCGCTACCAGGGCCATGAAGTAGGTCTTTTTGCGATTTCGTAGCTTAGGTGTAGTGGGAAACGCTGACTTGATGCATAGTGCAAGGACTGCGGTGGCGATTTCGACAAGTGCCGTGAGAAATCGCGATACGTTTAGATGATGAACTGTTATACGAGACCGCGGGATTTTCGACCCGTACCGACATCATTTGCGATACGTAGAATGAAGTGGAGTATACACAGAAAGAATCTTGGGAGTCGCCTCGGGGTTGTGCATGGCGGTCAGGGCGATTGAGTGTACATTGGATACGAATGAACCACTTTCACCGCTGATGTGGCTTTTCATCTAAACTTGCGTCTCTTTGTAATCGCGAAGATCTGGATCACAACTCAAAGCTTAACCTTCGGCACAGCCCACTCTCCCTTCTCCACCCTCTCACATATTTCCTTGATGGTCTTGGCAGCCCATTCAAAGTCCGCCATCTCCAAGTACACCTGTCCACTCAACCTCGTCCACCATACACCTCCATACCATTTCATCATAATGAAGGTACCATACTCTTCACAGCTAAGCCTCTCCATGAAGTCCCTGATCAGGTTGCCGACTTCTTCCTTGTCGATACCATTCTTACTCGCGATGTCTTGGGCCAGAGACGGCGATATCGGCAGGCGAACATTGGACAAACAACACTGTCCCAACGTACCAGTGCTGTTTTCCATGACTTCAGTGCCAAGAACACCGGCAACGTGTTTACCGGCTTCACGGGCGAGCGTTTGGCAATAGTCCATAATGACAGTCTCGCCTCCGAGAGATTCGCGCCACTTTAAGGCCGCGGGTACGCACAAGTAGGGGCTGTTGTCGATGGTACCCACAAACTCGAAGTTGCTAACGAAGGGCGATTTATCCGGGCTGACGAACGCCGATTTTGGCATGGGTGAATCGACCTTTTCGCCCTTGGGTGTGAAGCCGTGGGATGTGGGAAGCGTACTGCGTATGATGTCTTGGTTTCGTTGGGCGACGTGGAAGATTGCGCAGCCGCGGGGGACGTGGAGCCATCTATGCTGGATTAGTATACGTACATGTGCAATGACGAAAGATAGGACTGACTTGTGACAGTTGCTCACGAAGAAATCTGGGTCCAATGCACCCAGATCGATGTTCAAGTGGCCCACCCCATGGGCCCCATCGATACAACTCATGACGCCAAGCTCCTTGCATTTCTGTGTCAAGCGCTCGAACGGCATCCTGACGCCGGGCGCACTAACCACAGTATCAAAGACTGCGATTTTCACTTTTCCACCCTTGCTCTCTACCTCTTTGACCTTCTTCTCAAACTTGGTTAGCAGCCAGTCGTCTTCTACGGGATAGCTGTATGCGATCTTGACACTCTCCGCGGGGGTAGTCTCGGTGACGTATGATACTGTCTTCTCGCAAGCTCCATAGATGGTACTGAAGATGAGGATGTGCTCGCCAGGTTCAAAGACGATGTTGCGAAGAACGGTGTTCACTCCGGTGCTGGCATTGGGTACGAACACCAGGGTTGAGGAAGGTGTGTTGAGCAACTATGGCATTGTTAATGAGAGTAATTGGAGGCTTGCTAGGTAGCTGTATGTGTCACAGATCTCCTGTATTGGTATCAAGATGAGTAACGTACCTTTGCCATAGCTTCCCGAGCTTCATCGAGATGGACAGGGTATCTGTATCTGATGAAGGGGTCTGGACGACCTTCGCATTCATCCTGGAAATCACGCATAGTGTCGCGGACCGCGCGAGGGATGGTACCGAAAGAGCCTGATTACAATTAGCCTACGTATGGAGAGCATGTCTCGCAAAAGATATGTAAACAAACAATATCAACGGAATTACAAGGTCAAGCTGTTCGCTCGTGAACTGTGAGGAAAGTGTATGCACATACCATGATTCAAGTTCAGAAATCCTTTCGAGAAGCAGAACTCCTTCTCCCTCAGCTCTTTTCCAAATTTGACTCCATCTTTCGTCTTGACCTCCAGGGCGGCGTTGTCCAAGCTTGACGTCATAACTCAAATCGGTCGGACAATGTTTTTTTGTATCATCGAAAGTCCAGCGAGAAACGTCTAGTTATATAGACATACAAGATGTGACTCAATGTTGTTGTGACTGTTTCCCTGATATCGCTTGGCGAATGAATCTGGGACCGCAGGGCGCATGTAACAAAGCGTCAGCGGGGAGCGATTGACCAATCAGGGTCGCTAGCGGATAGAAGCGGCGGGGATGTGGGGCGTTCGCTGCCAAAGATACGGACAAGAACATCATGACTGTTGAGTTCTGTGCAGGTCGCGTCCTCTGCATAACTCTCGCCAACAGCGGCTGCAACGATAAGTATCTCCGTCAGATCAGCCGGAACTTGGGGAGGAAATTGGATAGCTTGCCGCGAGTCACACTACCAGGGCCAAGGGCGAACAGCTCCGTGCCACGACACCTGATGTTCGAAAGGCAGCATTAGCATGCTGCGTGATGTGCAGCCTACACTTCGAGGTACAATATACATGCGTGCAAGTAACCTCTTCGGAGAAAGAGCGCTGCAGTTCGGCCATATTTCCGTCCTATGACCGCTCGCGACGACTCAACACGCGGGCCGCGCTCGTTGGCTGCGTAGCTATGCCGCGCCACCTCGATATTCCGGGGCAACATTTATGGAATCCTCATGTCCCAAGTACCAGACCCTGTTAAGAAGTTCACTGCTAGTCGAACAATCAATATTCTCCAAAGTTCGCGATTATGAGACAACTCACATCATTCCCAACCATCGACGTCCTAGTAATAGGCGGAGGAAATGCGGGCTTCTCCGCAGCAACAGCGGCCGCAGAAGCAGGAGCACGCCGGGTCGTCCTCATCGAAAAAGCTCCAGAAGACTGGGCCGGAGGCAACAGCTACTTCACAGCAGGTGCCTTCCGCACCGTGCACAATGGCACCAGCGACCTCCTACCCATCGTCAACAACGTCGATACCGAGACAGCAAAACTCATAGACATGGAACCATACACCAAAGATGATTTCCAGAAAGATATGGATCGAGTATGTCTAGGTCGTTCAGATGCAGCCCTAAGCAAAGCGCTCATCTCAGAATCCAACGAAGCCGTAAAATGGCTCGCAAACAACGGTATCAGATACCAACTATCCTTCAACCGCCAAGCCTACAAAGTAAACGGCCGCTACAAGTTCTGGGGTGGCATGGCCCTCAAGACGCAAGACGGGGGAAAAGGCCTTATCGAAGATCACCAAGCCTGCGCCCGCAGACACGGAATCGAAGTATACTACTCCACGCCCGCCAAACGTATCGTGACCTCTCCCTTCGGCGCCATCACCGGCGTTGTCGTAGACTACAAGGGTATGTCCACGCACATATCCACCAAAACCGTGATTCTTGCCGCGGGAGGCTTCGAAGCAAACCCACGCATGCGCGCCCAATACCTGGGTCCGTCCTGGGACCTCGCGCGCGTCCGTGGCACCCCCTTCAACACGGGCGAAGTCCTCGAGTACGCCATCCGCGACGTAGATGCGAAGCAAGCGGGAAATTGGTCGGGGTGCCATTCTACCTGCTGGGATGCCAATGCGCCTGCCAACAGCGGCGACCGACTTATCTCTAACGAGTTTACCAAGTCGGGGTATCCGCTTGGCATTATGGTCAACACAGAGGGAAAAAGGTTCGTAGACGAGGGCATCGATATGCGAAATTACACGTATGCGAAGTTTGGGCGGGCGATACATGAGCAGCCTGATGGGGTGGCGTGGCAGGTTTGGGATCAGAGGGTTGTGGGGTGGTTGAGGGAGGAGGAGTATAGGGATGAGAGGGTGGAGAAGGTTTGGGGAAAGACGGTTGAGGAGTTGGCGGGGAAATTGGCGAGGGAGGGGGGGTTGACTGAGCCGGAGAGGTTTGTGGAGACGGTGAAGGAGTATAATGAGGCGGTTTATGCGGCGATGGCTGAGAATCCGAAGAGGATGTGGGATCCGGCGGTAAAGGATGGGCTTACTACGCAGTCATCGAAGAAGAAGCTGGAACTGGCTAAGTCGAACTGGGCGCTGCCGCTTGATAAAGGCCCGTTTATGGTTGTCAAAGTATGCTGCGGCGTCACCTTCACGTTCGGGGGTCTGGCTGTCAATCCGGAAACTACAGCTGTTATATCGAATTCTGGAAGAGAGGTTACAGGCCTGTTCTGTGTTGGCGAGATGCTGGGCGGTTTGTTCTATGGCAATTATCCTGGAGGTAGCGGCTTGACTTCTGGGGCGGTCTTTGGGAGGAGAGCAGGAACGGCAGCGGCGAGATTAGCTGCTATTGGGGATACTACGATGTCTTCAAAGCGACCGGCAATTCTTTCACTTTTATAACAGACAGTGAGAAATAGGAATGTAGTTGATGTTATCAGGAACCGAACGATAAATGAAATGTATCTACTCGCTACACAGTTGTCGTACTGCTGAGGTACTCCGTGCAGGCAGCAAGTGCTAAAATAAAAGACCGTCGTCGCGACTTTGTACCGTACGATCCGTCAAAAACATGTCGAACCCCTTCAGGACATATCTCGGTGTTTGGCGTAAGTCGGTAGAAGCCATCTTGTCCGTATCAGGAATCCGACTCCTCGAGCTCTTCTGTTGACGATAGTTCTCCCGACGCCTCGAGACCGAACCTTTTGAAAGGTGCAGCATGCCACCAAGATGGATTGCTATCTCTAAGCTGTTCGAAGAAAATGAAGCCGCAATACGGGAAATCTCTACTCAACCGGGGATATGCACAACCGTCAGCGGGCCACTCCGTTCCTGTGTCGATCACGCACACATCCTGTGCTGCGTGCAACGCGTGCTCGTCTGACACGTACTTGACTACGTGGTAGTCTGTATTGTGGGTTCCTTCGATCGCGAGATCGGAGTCGTTGTCCACATGAGGCTGGTGGTGTTGGGGACCGACAAAGACGATGTGACGGGGATCTAGCAACCATAGCTCTTTCAGATTGAAGTCCGCTAGCATCTGTAGCAGATCACACCAGTTCCCATGACTGCTCGCGAGGAGAATATGTCCCAATGCAAGGCGCTCCAGGTTCGGAAAGAAGTTGAGGAGGTTTAGGATATCGGATATACTGAACGAGTGCTGGTAGTCTGACATCAATCGAAACTCTTTCAGGTTTTTGAGTTCGTACCACAGGTCTGGGGACCGTGAGCCTAAATCAAAGGGTGCACGAAACGGTCCGGCATCCGCGACCAGTTCTTCAGGAGTCTTCGAAACGGTTATCTCCAGGTATTCCAGATTTACCAGCTCTTCAAGGCCACGAGACGTGAACAACGGCCCACCCCTGGGACAGGTGGTATTAATAGCAACGTGCCTCAACGTATTCGGAAACCACTGGAATAGGTCAAATGCCAACGAAGAAGGGGTTCTGCGAAGGGCATCAGCCCCTCCTGAGATTGCACAATACGATGCCCTGTTGCCGAGTAATGGACTCTCGAAGATATCCAACGTGGGGTGGGACTCCTTGAACGCCTCCATGATCTTGGGGAAGATCCACTCACTCTCCAACTGAACACCCCACCAAGAGTATTCACCTTCTTCCAATGCTGGATATCCGTACCTGGAGCGCTCTGGTCCTCCTCGGAAGCAAGTCTCAAAGGAAACGCGGTCTGACTCGGATACTTCCCACTTGGGCCAGGTTCCATCGAGGCAATTTGGGTGTATGGGGTAGTATCGAAAGTGCTTTACCCAGCTAATCTTGCACAACAGATGTATTAGGTACTGCGTCACCGGATTCTCCTTGTCGAGATCGTCACGTCCAGTACCCCAGCGGTCGTACTCTCCGAGTGTAACAAGGCCCAGATCCATACCACAGATTGTGATTGTCTGATTAAACCAACGATTGTATTTTGGAATTTCAGTGATCTCCTCAAGTACTGGGAGTCGATGGTTGTACCACACGAGAGGTGTCCGGGAGACTATATCGACAAAATCGCGTATGAAAACATCCGATTCGAACCAGCGACGCGCGACGAGCCGACAATTGAGTACTGTGCGGACGGAGAGCTTGCAAAGTCCGTCAAATCGCTCGATAATGGGCGCCGATTCTGTATGGGTAAGATGTACGAACACATCGTCGAGTATTTCTTGTGGTAACTTCTCCATGGTCGGCCGTAGTAGAAACCTGTTCTATTGATTGAGGACCAGGAGAGGAAGAGCGCAGAGTTTTATAGCAAAGGATTGCGCCTTCGTCAGACTGCTACCTGTGACGATGCAAACGATGCATACATCACGGAGAGTGTCACGCCCGTGGACGAGGTACTGATGTGAATATGCAACCGCCCAATGCTGTGAAACTCGACCGATCAATCGCCCGAGGTGGTACCAATGACATGTGATGTGTATATTCGAGAACGATCAAACGCTCCAGCCCCCGGGTATCGATAAAACCAAACGCCTTGCCCAAGCCCAAATTTCGGGCATCTACCTTTTTCTTGTTCTCTTCGGCGCTGGCTTTGGTTTCGCGCGATTCGTTCGACGAGTAGTTGGCGCACTGTCTTCTTCAGACTCGGCACTAGATTCTTCATCGTCATCATCTTCGTCCTCTTCTTCTGCGGATTCGGATACGGTGCTCTGGGCCTTACTGTTCTTTGCAGCATTGGCTCCAGCCTTGGTACCCTTGCCGCCCTTTGCAGCTTTGCCTGTCCTTGTGTTCTTTGCGTTCTTGGGTACGGGCGTGGCTTCGGTTACACTCTCAGCCTTTTGTGAGTGCACGCCATCGGGGAGGTCTTTCAGCAGGCCGATGCCTGGCGCGTAGAGGTCTTTGTATTTTTGAATGGGCGTCATGGGTGGTGACGAGCCGGCCGCAGAAGATTCACGATGGAAGCGCTGATGCCACATGAGCTTGCCATACTCGTCTTCTGGCAGCTCGAACTCGGGCATGTTGTTGGCGTCGTCGGGGTCTAGCGGGTCGGGGTCTTCGGAGAAAGCGAACTCGTTCTCGCGCGTATCGAGGGCGTCCAGGTCGTATAGCTGCGACAGCTTCTTCCAGACACCGGGAATGCGCGTGTGAGGAGCGTCGTCACTCGCGAAGCCATGCGAGCGCATGTCGGTGTGGATGGAGATCATGCGAAAGTGCTTGTGCATGCCTGAAGATGTCAATGACGTGTCTAAAGACAGATTGAACTCTTTTCTACCTGTCGGCTTCCACTTCATCATGCTTTTCAGAAGCTGTGTTTCCTGCTCGTCGGCCCACGGATCGCTGAGCAGCTCATCTTGCGACTGCACGACGCCAGAATCTTGCGGTGTTTGGGGCTGAGTGTCGCGCAGGGGCGTGGAGGCTGCACTCGCCTTTGCCTTCTTTCGGGGCGGCATGTTGTGGATGTTTGGGGGTGGGAGTGAAGAGAAGTGAGGGAAGGAAACGCGCAGTCGCGAGCTGCAGGTACAGTGACGGAAGGCGCAAGGGTCCGCGTAGGGCTGAGTCGCCAAAACCATGGCGCGTCATACCCCTCCCTCACCGTTGACTACTCCACATCCGCCGCCATGGATGCGCGTGATTCGATTCACGACGTCTTCAGTACCGAGCATCTGTGGAGGCAGCCTTCCTTTTTTGACGATGATTCCCAAGAGTCGTCGCTCTTTGCTCCCCTCGAGCTAGACAGTGGGTCGTCGCGTCTTTTCATCCGAGCATGTGAACGCGTTGCTGACCAGCCACAGTCTCCTCAATCAGATTCGACCATCCTTACGCGCCCAAGCATGACCTCGAACGCGAATTGCGACTGCCCGATCTGGACACGTTCGAATTCGGACCGCTACCCGAGCTCGACAGTTTCGACGACGACAGCATTCCAATCGAAACACCGCCCTTAGAGCCAGAAGAAGACGTCTGGAAGGTAGCACTTGACCTGGGACCCGCGAACAAGGATGTCCTGTTCTATACCTGGGAGTCGTTCGAAAAGGGAAGGCACGTCGAAAGCCAAACGCCATATATAACCGAGCATGGTCCCGAGACCTTCGATGCGACGCTGGTACGAGACGAAGGGAAGAATGCTGGTCGGGTACTGAAAGGAGATGTGCTCCTACAATCGCTCTGGAACCTTGGTCTAGGCCGGTCCTCTATACTCTTCCAGTTCAACCCAAAGCTGAAGACGTTCCAGCCCGCCATACCGGATGGACGAGCTTCGGGACTGAGCCTACAAGCAGCGCAGAGCTTGATCCTGTACTTTACATTCATCGGCAACACATTCCTCTATTTACGCTCTTTCGCAGAGCGTACCTTTGCCTCGGCCGCGTCGATCCCCGCAAGAGTCGCTCTGGCCACATCGATATCGAGTGTTCTTTCAAGCCTGGAAGACACCCTGGGAAAGCAATCTACCAAGATCCGCTCGCTCATCCAGCTCCAGCACCAGTTCGCTAAGCCTCGCAATATCCTTGTCCACGTTGCCCGTATGGCAGATGCTGTCAAACACGCCAAAACCAACGAGCAGCTGTCGTCCATATTACATCACCGCCTGCTTGAGCTGGAAGAAGGGGATGAACAGCTTCGACAGCTATCATGCCAGGTGCTCAGTCAGGTGTCCAGACCAAGCTTGGAGCTCCTCGGGGAATGGATGGGCATAAGGAAAGAGCAAGTTTCTGTGCCCATTTGGCAGCGCAATAGCTTCGTAACTGTCGAAGACCCCACTGGCGATACTCTCACACTGGACTACACGTACAGGTCCGAAATGATGCCAAGGTTCATTTCCCCAGAAGACGGCAATAC